GAATTGTGAGTTGTTTTACTAAGCTACAGAGGAGATGGAGAAGAGTGTTAAGCATTACAGCACCATGAAAACATTTCAAATACAGAAAGGACATAGGCAAAGGAGGAGAAAACTAACTAGTTTTGCTTCCTAGTTTACTAGGCAATCCTGCATAAAGGCAATGACCGATGGGCAAATGTTATGTTCAAACTAGGCTATAACACTCTTTAGCTCTCTGAGACTTTAGTTGTGTTGCTTCTGCACAATACCTACCAGAGTAACTCATGTAGCAGGCGTCCAAATCCCCTTCCTCGGTTTTTGTCAAAAGCAAAAGCAAATATTCTAGCACCATTTCCATCCGCGTCTACCTCCATTCGTGCCTAGTCAAAGAAAGGGAGTAGAACTCTTTATGTACTAACTGAAAATATTTGTATGCTCATCTATAATTTCCAAGGCAGCTTCAATCCTAACACAATAAAATCCAATTAAAACTATAATAAAAAGAAATGTAATGGCCACTAAAAGCAAACAGCTTAGCAGCACAAACCCAATGCATAAAGCAACACTCAAATATTAAATGCCTGGACAAATATTGGTGTTAACTTGTCACCTGCAAGGTATGACTGACAGCACCATGTTATCTATGTTTGAGGAGAGTACTCCACAAACTGGAGGCCACCACAGAGAAGTCTCTGCTCCCAGTCACCAATGGTCTGACAAGTCCTACATCTAGTTTTCCCCAGAGACCCATGCTAGGAAGTGCAGGGCATACATTCCATTCTACAAAAATGGCAGTTAAAGGGACTATTCACAGAAAAACTGTGATAGCCAAACTACCCTCAGCAGGTATATAAATATATTTATAATTGAGTATGCTAAGGAGGAAAAGGCTGAAGATCAAGGGCTCAGAGTGTGTAGCAGGGAAGGGGAAGGAGGAAGAATTAGTTAGCAGGAAAGAACACATAAAGTACACCTAAAATCTGGGTTGAAAATGGCTTTGCCAGGTGCCACTGTGAGAAATTGTAATGTGGGCAGGAAAGTCAACTAAGTCCTCATTCCAAGGAGCCTGCTACTGAGATCAACTGCAATAGATGCAGTTCACCCATATCGCTCTCTTGCTCAAGGATGGGGGGTCAGGGCAATATCCATTTAGAGTCAGAACTAAATCAAGGATGCCGATTGCTAACCACTAATCTAATCCAGAAAGGCCAAAGGAAGGCTTTAAAGAATGGGGCATCAATGTGGGAATTAAGCAGATCAGGCTAAGAACACAACAGAGAGCAAACCGGGTTCTTACCTCAAAGGAGTAACTCTCCACAAGCGGAATGTCTTGCTCATCTATCAGTGTGTACTTTGTCTGAAATCGGAAAAATAATGAAAAGTGAAGCATTCTGTACAGAGCATGAGTTACTAATACCTGACAGGGCCCTCTCGGCATTTATTCCACCGTAATGCCAAAATAACCCATAGACGCACCCCAAAACATAGGATACATAGGAAATTCTCGGGCAGTTTCATATGTTTTTGTCTCAACCACAGGTAAGCTGTTTCATAGGAATGAGCCTTGAGAGTTTTCAGATTTCTACCAGCCAAAGAAGCCAACAATGCACGACAACTTTTACTGCTTGAACTGCTTTTCTCCCATGTTCCTAAAAATATAAATGCCTTGCTGGATCGGACCATCTTTGCTTCTAGCATTCTCTTTCCCAGAGCAGCCAACAGTATTTTAAGGACATGTTTCTCTTGCCTTCACTTTCCTAAATTTGGTAGGAAGATGAAAGAAAAACACAACATGGGGTTTCTGTACTGGTTGCCCCTCAGAAAGGCAGCTGCAGCTCAAAAAGAGTTTGTGTCAGAAATCTGTTAGCCTTGCTTCTTTAATTCTTTCAAAGGGAAGGATCCATACTATAGATTAACTGCCGTAACTATCTTTCTTGAATCCAGTTAAGCTGCCTTTTCTTAACCAAAACCTTATACCAAATACAAAAGAATATGTCTTTGCAGTCCACAATTAATCCAAAGCAAGCGTTGCTGTGTGGTCACCACACAGCAAAACCAATAAAGCTGTTCATAAAAAGCTACCTTAGACCAGGTTAGACTATTCTGAAAGCTGCTCTCCAAAGTCTCAGTATGTGAGGAATCTTCCACATCTTTTGCTACCCGGTCCTTTTAATTGGAGATGCCAGAGTGTGAAGCTGAGAGCTACTAAATACAAAAAAAGGTCCAACCACCCTGCTACACACCTTTTGTCCAATGCAAACTCAAACAAATACTAACCTCACATCCACCTGAACTGTGAACAGCACAGACAGCTAAAGATTTTTTCTTAACATAAGAGACCAACCCAATTTAGAACAGCCTTCCCTAATCTTGCAGTGAGGACTTCAACTACCATCAATCACAGCCAGTGACTCAGCTGTGAATGATGGAAACCACCATCCAAAACCTGACAGGTGACGAATCTTGGTCACATAAGTCACAGATTAACATTTCCCTCTTAGACCCAACCAAACGCAGCACTTCCCCTACCTGGTGGCCCTCTAGGTGTAACTCAGACTTTCAGAGGCTGGGGCTGATGGGACTTGGAGTCCAACTACCTGGAAGGCACCAGCCTGAGAATGATGGGAGTTGCTGCACTACACACCTGAAGGGTGGCAGGTCGGAGGAAGCAAATCTAGGGATTCTTGGGGACCTGCCCCACAGAAGAACCCATCAGCTTTTTACACCCACCCCCTGCAGCAGCCCTCCCTCTGGCTGATGGTCCTCCCAGCCCTCCACACTGGCCTGGCCTGGCCTGATGAGAGCTGGAGCACCCCGTGTTTGCATGGGGACAAGCTGAAGAAGAAATGGAAGGCAAGGCAGCCTCACGAGGATGGGGGGAAAGGGAAGGCGGAGGCCCGCCCCCCCCCTTGATTTTCAAAGGCTCCCTTTCAAAATAGGGGCGCGTGGAACTCCACACCGAGGCCAGTGACGTCACAGACGGGCCCCCCTGTGTGACGTCAAGCGCGCGCGCGCGCGGAGGGGGCTGTGGGGGGCGCCAATCCCTCCGGAGGCCTTTCCTCCGCGGCCACGCCAGGCAAAGCGAAGCCGCCTCCCGCCCCCGCCGCCGGGCCCGCACCTTGCCCGCCACTCGGCCGAGCCGCACGATGCCCAGCTTGAAGTCGGTCATGGCCCGCCTCGGCCTTCCTGTCGGGGGGGAGGAGGAGGAGGAGGAGGAAGAAAGAGGAGAGGGGGAGGGGAGGAGGGGACGAGCGCGAGACGGAGCGAGACGCCGATACCACGCGCCGCCGCCGCCGCCGAGGACGCCGCCGCCTCGCGCACACCCGAAGAGACGGGGCGGAGGGGAGGGGGCGGGGCAGCACGCGCCGCCGGCGGCCTCCGAGCCCGCGCGGCCAATCGGGGCGCGAGCCGCGCTCGTGCGTCATCGCCCATCCTCGCCTCAGGAGTCGGCGCGAGAGCGGAGCGCGCCGCCCTCACGCTCGCGACCCGGCACACGTGACCGCGCGGCCGGAGCCGGCGGCGGCGGGTGATGGCGTCAGCGCCGCACTCGCGGGAAGCCTCCGAGGCGGCCCTGTTCTCCTCGCGCCGGCGCCCGAGCGGGCTGAGTCCCGAAAGGGGCGGGGCCAGTACCGAGCCCTTCCGGCTCTTAAAGGCGACGCCGCCTCTCGAGAGCTGCACTCACACGTGCGCGGGTGCGGGCGTGCCGTACGTCCGCTCGCTTGTGTGGAATCTACGTGTGCACGTTCAAACATACCATTGCGTGCTTGCTCTCGCACACAAAAAGCAAGGAAGAGGACCAGCAATAGTACATCCAGTGTACCAATTTTGTACATTTAAAATATATACATTGATTGTTTACACTTCTTAGAGCTTGTGGCTGTGTGTACACAGATGCATACACTCATTTTTTTCCTTTCCCCACAGTCGCATTTTCTATTCTTTTCCTCCCTTTAGTTTATGATGTCCTGGTTTACGCGTATATTGCTTTCATAATTGTGGTTTTATTACTGTATTATTGTAATTGTATATTATGTAAACCATCCTGAGCGCTTGTCGGAAGGTTGGGACATAAATGCTTATAATAAATACATAATACACAAATATCAGTATTTACTTACATGCATTTATACACTTCTGTTATAGAAAGTGCACACGAACACAGTGACAAACTCTTGTGCATGTACAGTTATTTATAAGTCCATTTATATGCTCTCTACTAGAGAAGTCTCAGGGCAGCTTACAATCAAAAGTATAAAGATGTATAACAATAAAAAGACAATACAATTCATAAGCCAATTTTTAAACCTTACAAAACTTACCATCATAGCAAGTAGTGAAATGGAGGGGAAGCTCAATTATTTTAAGGAGTACTAAAAAGGAATGTTTTTGCCTGGCGCCAAAACAAATATGTAGGGCTGGGAGTGTGAATGAGTCATTTTCAGGCTGGATCCTACACATTATGATCATTACCTTCCCATCAGGCCTCTTTCCCTCTTATGGGGAGCCCAAGGTGGTCTACACAATTCCATTGTCTCCCAGCATCCACCCTGCAAGGCAGCTTAGACTGAGTGCAAGTGACTGGTCCAGAGTCACCCTGGGGGCTTCACAGACAAGTGGTTCTCCTTCGTCCTCAAGCCAACATGTTCAGCTGCACTCCCAGTCCAATACTGACTTTAATTCTTACCTTTGACGTTTTGGTATTGCTTATTGTACTTTCATATGAGATGGAAGCAGCAACCTGGATTTCACAAGAGCTGAACGGGGCCTCTCGGAGAGCTTCCATGCACAGCGTCAGCATGAGGCAAAGACAACTGGTTGGCACGGAACACGGCTTGTCGGCTGCTCTGCCTGGATTTTACCCTGAAAGGAAGCCTGGCCATCATGGTCTCCCATATACTAAAGCGGGTGCCCACAAGCCTCACAGAACCCAGAAAGCTTCGGAACAATGGAACCCACTGATGTCACACAACGCTGGCAGCCATTTCTGCAGCTGGGGACAGGGAAGGTGGTCAACATCGGCAATGGAGTCCCAGCAGAAACACATTAAGTTCATGGCTCAGCTGTACCTGGACCGCAGCCAGAAGTGGGGATCCAAAACACCATTCTGCTCCAAGAGGTACGATAATGGTAACAGGAGGAGATTCGAGATGGATGGCCGCCCTGAAAGGGCGCACCCAGCTTCCTGCATCCAGTGCCCATGAAAATACAGCAATCAAGCAAGTCCGTCGGGAGAGCAAGTTCTGGGCTCCACACGATGGATAAGCTGCTTTAAGTTCTGGCTGCAGACACGGCACACTGTGCCTCGAAGCTGTGGCCATGTGTCCTCTTCTTATGAGGAAAGCCCTTTGACCTGAAGGTCTTTGTGCTTTGTTTCCAGGGGTCTGCAAAGCAGAGAAAAGAGCGCCCCTCCACTCTTCCCCGAGATCTACTCCGGGAGACAGAGCAGTAAGTGGGCCCAAGTAACACCCGTTTCCCCCCTGCTCCATTGTCTCCGGAGTGGCCAATGAGGAATACAGATGGCGTGGCAAGGTGGAAGTCTTGCTCACATAGGTGTGTGATTGTTGCGCAAGCATAGCAATCCCAGTGGATTTTGAGGCAATGCTGCCGTCCTCCAGAGAGGAGCCTTCCAGGCTCTGATCGGGCACTTGTTGGGAGTGCAGAGGCAAGATTTCTCTGTGGTTGCTCCTCTTTTTCAGCCCATTGATAACTTAATTCAGAATTACATTTATGCTCTGTCCTTTCTCCTCTGGCGAGGAATCCAAACGAGTTGATCTCATCCTCCTTGTTTCATCCACACAAGCTGGGCTAGATGGAGAGTGAGGAATTGGCCCAGGGTCACCCAGCGAGCTTCATGGATCGTGCCTGAGAGGGGATTAGAATCCAGGTTTCCCCAGGGTGGCACCCTAAGCATTATGCAACACGGGTTGTAGATAAAGCACTTGCTGACAGTCGGGACCCCGAGGGTGTGGAATGGGCTTCCACAGGAGGTGGTTGAGGCCCCATCGGTGCGGGTGTTCAAGGATAGGCCGGACATCCACATGGTGGGCATGTCGTGAGCGGAGCCGGCTGGTGCCAGAAGTCAGACTAGATGGCCTGGGAGGCCCTTTCTGACTCGCTGTTTTTCTAAACAGTACACGGAACCCACCGAGGAGGAGGAAAGAGGGAGAAGTATCCTGATGTTATTAATGTGCCTTAACACATTAACACCCTAACAGCCCAGGCGCAGCTTTTGCCCTGCTAGTTGGCAGAGTGCCAGGTCCTCCCATCATCCCCTGCTCCTGCACCTTTAACAGCTCTCGTTCTCTTCTTCACGCTGCTGTTAAAGGCATCAGAGCCAGCCAGTCCCTCTGCAGGAGAGGCCATTGGAAGCCCACTCGCCTGGATCCCCTCCCAGGTCTCTGGCTCAGTGATCTTGTAAGACCCCCAGTGGTCCATTGCTAAATCAGTGGAGTGTGTTATTTTTGCTTGCTTTAGGATCTCAAGCAAAACCTGAAGGCCGGCTGCAGCTGACGGTGAACATAGACAGCCCTGGGCCAGCAGCTTATGGTCCCCCTAACTTGACCTGCAGAGAAACTGGTGCACCCTCCTACACCTTTGGGTGGAAGACGCCCCCTAGAGGTAGGGGCAGGGCCAGCCCTCCTGTCTGAAATGCCAGGCTGGGGCACTCTCCAAGGAGACCTCAGCAGCCCCCTGGACACTGCTTGAGATGCCACCTGCTCTTCTGGGGAGGATGACGAGCAAGTCCAGACATGAGCACCACAGTGGTGAGGAGGTCATCTTGCTAGTGGAGAGTTACTGCTGGGGGCATCTTGCCAAAGGGCTCCTGAAATCAGGCACCAGCACTCGATCCTTTCGGAAGTCTCAAGGCAGTCCCCACCACTCTGCAATCGCTTCGCCTCGCTGCCTGAACTCTGAGGTGAACCTTGGAGGCACTGCTTGTGTGCCAGCATGTCAAAGCTAATACGCAGGCAGACCTGGGAGACAGGGTCTTCTCCATGTTGGCCCCTGCTGGTGGAACCACCTAGTCTGTGCTTATCCCCCCATCCCCAATTACAGGCCTTCACATGAGCTCTGAAGTTGTGTTTAGCTTGGTCTACATCCAAGCTAAGCTTTATGGTAATCCATTCTGGCAGTTCTGGAGGGTTGCAGTCCAGGGGCTGAAGGGGAAGAGGAGGAGTCCCAAAAGACTTGCATATTGTAGCTCAAACCTTGTCCTGCTTGTAAAAGTGCACCAAAACAGGAAAACAGAAATTGAGCAGTGATTGCAGTAATACTTTGGAGAGTCCCAGGTGGCCAAATTCAGTCACGCAGTCTGAGCAACCCCCTCCTGCTTTCCTGGGTGCCTGTGTGCATTGAGTCATACCTGGTTCTAATAATTCATTTTGATTTTAGTCTTGTTTTACAGGGTTTATCTTTGCTTTATTGTATATTTTTTATGCAGCCTTGGTTTTTCCCCAAGAGGTAGTGTTTAAATCACGAAATGAGTGGTCCCTCTGATTTTTCTAGATGGCGGAGGGTGTCGCGCCTGGCAGAAATCCTGGTTTCTCAGCAAGAACCCATTCATCAGGAAAGTGGATTTTGCCCATGAAACGAATGTATGTGCGGAGCGGAGCCCCCTTCGGACCAGAGGAAGGTGTGGGTGGAGGGCTGTGCTAGGCACATTACAGAAGAGCAGAACATTTTCCTTGTGATCCCGTGGCTGCCGAGTCTGCTTACTTAAGAGTTGCTCAAACCGTGGTCCAGGGACCATCACTGGTCCAGTGGCCCACTTTGAGACGGGTCTCAGGGCCACAACCCACCTAATTCCTCCAAGAGGAAGAAAGACAACTGTGGATAGCTTTGAAGTGCATTTTCACATGACGACCTCCATAATGGGCCCCAAAGGGCCGTACAACTCCCCCCCACCCCCCCCGTCAGCAGCTCTGTGGTCCCAAAACAGGAGGGGCTAAAATACTAAAAGCCCTTTAGCTCAAAACTGATAGGCAGCAATGAAGGGTTTGGAAGAGGCCTTTCAACCGTATTTCATTCAGAATGCGGCACAGAAACTGGGAAACCACCATGGGAATGCTAGTCTGGGGGAAATGGGAGTTCCAGGGAAAGGAACATTGTCCTCTGGGAAACCCGGAAAGGGTTCAGAGGCCAAGACAGCTAGAGCTGGTACTTTGGACCACAGGTTCTGCAGCACTGTAATTCCATCCAAGTTCTCACCTCCTTTATAGACTTGCCCAGTTGCAAGTGGTCGATTTTTTCATAAACCCTTTAAAAGCTTGAACATTACATCTTATTATGCCTTTACATTACATGCCTAAAATACTCTTAAAACAGGACAATTCATTACAACTAATAATGAAAAAGTGTGGTTTTTATGGTGGCTTTCTTAATGGACCAGAGTTTTAGCATTTGGCTGTCACAGAAATGTAGTAACTGGAAAATGTTTTATTTTCGGTCACCCTTCCTTCAAGGAGCCCAGAATAGTGTACATAATTCATGTTCCCATTTTATGCTAACTACCATGCAAGTGACTGACATGAAGACACAAATTCTGTGGCTGAGCAGAGATTTGAACTTGAGCCTTTCTTGGTGTACTTTAATCTTTTTAAATGCTTGGCACCTTGCTTCTCAGTCCAAAGGTTCCAGGAGCTTGCACGAAGTGCAACACACAAGGAAAAGGGGATACGGAGGGAAGAGGCAAAATTGAGTCTTTTGGCAGAGCTGCTGGTGGAACGGCCCCACTGTCACCTCTTTTCCGTGGCTCTCTCCGCACAGGACAGCTCTGTTTCAGCTCTTGCACCTGTTCTTTGCAGTGGCCGTCTCCTTTCCACTACGGCCAGCCTCTAGGATCCCAACTCGTCAACAGGCCCAACAGCCCAAATTTCACCATCGGCCACAAGGGCGAGTTCTCTTTCGTCAACAAAGGTGAGCAAGCACCAAAGGCCGGCTCCCCTTCCAGGGAAACCACTGCAGCCAGGGGACCAAGGTGGCGGTTTAGCAACTCTTGCCACTCTTGGTTTCACAAGGCGGAAGCCTTCATGAGGGTGGGGTCCTCCTCCAGTTTCCCCATCCCCTCCCTCTGGGCCCAATCCTTGCCTCCTCCAGGAAGGAAAAGACATGAGCAAAGGTTGCTGCCTGTTCTCACCTGACTGCTGGCTTGCCAAATCAAGGACACCATTTTAGGATGCCAGCCTCCCGACAACAAACAGACTCCATGCTGTTTCCCTCGATCTCTGGTCCTGGAGACACTGACTGTTTCAACTCTTGCCCCCTTCCCTTTTCACTAGAGACTCTGAATGATCCGGCACCCAATAAATATGACACGGAGCGTGCCTACAAGTACGTGCTACAGAAATCGCCCTCCTACATCATCAGCCCCGTACCACTCAAAGGGCACAGGTGGGCCCACAAAGGTGAGGAAGGCTGGAGACCATAACGGTGGTGACGAGGCCACCATTTCTACAGGTGTCCCGCAAGCTGCTCTCCTTGAGGCACCTTCCCTGCCCCACGACTCCGGGGGCATCCAGGTTAAGAGGCAGGGCTTGTGGAGGGAAGCCAAGCGCCAGGCGGCCAAGTGGGGAACATCCATGGGTACATTAACAGCCCTCAGAGGTAGGGAAAGCACTCGGAGGCCCATGAGTTACTCACCCCTGCAGTAAAGCTGATCCGGGCGAACTCGAAAGCCCCGATGGCTTTAGAAGCAAAGCTAAAGGGGCTCGCATGGGTCAGGCCGAGGAACCAAGTCCAGCCCTCCTGGGATTCCCCTGGAAGGCTCCATCCCCTCCCACCCACAGCAACTCTGGGCAAGTGGAAGCCGTAGGCCAGAGAACCTGTCGGCCAGCCAGCTTAGGCAAGCTTCCAGGAGCTATTTTTTGTTTTGGTAGTTTGAGGGTCACTCCAGAGCCCCCAGCCAGCGTGTTTTGCACATGGATGCCCGGCCAGCCCAGCCCTGAGCCTCACGTGCTGCCCTCACCCCTGCAGGGGGCACTCCCGGTCCAGGGACTTACAATGTGGCGCGGGCACACAACGCCCGCCTGCCCAGCTCCCCCAGCTTCTACATCCAAGGCGTGAGGCGGCCCAAGAAGCACGAGACGGGGCCGTTTTCGACCGTGTGACGCACAGCAGCGCAGCGCAACACAGCGCACCTGCTCAGTGGAACGTTCCCGAAGCAGACCTTGTAACAAATGTGCAAAATGAACTGTTTTAAAAAAAGAGAGCACTTCCCCTCCTGCTCTTTAAGTCGTCTAGACATCAGCACGGCCCCGGCAACTCCAAATGTATAAAAAGAACCAAGTATCAGAACCTCTGCAGGAAGAAGGAATGCTCAAGCAGAACCTTCTGGCTGGGTGGAAAGGAAGACCTTGCTCCACCAGCGGCGGGGAGAACCCTCTGGAGACGCCAGGCAACTGGCAGCCTTATAAACCTTGTATTCTACAGCTCCCATCAACCCCCACCTGACTGACGAGAGATCATGAGGGCTGCAGGACAAAGCATCCAAAGAGCACAAGAGTCCCATCTTCCTGCTGAAGGTTTAAGGGGGGGTTTGGAGAGCCAGCTCATGTGACCGCTGCAATTGCAGAGAAAGGATTCCTGGGCCTTCTGAGATATGAGGAAGGTGTCCCCCGTTCCGTTTGTTACATGCATCGGCCACCTTTCTTCCACGGTGTGTAACAAACGGAATGTAAAATTCTTTTCACATTTTATCTGGAGAAGCAGCAGCTGGCCAGGTCTTCCAGGAAGGTTCATGGTCGAGTGGAGACTCCAACCTGGATCTATCAGGTGGTATTTACCACATTTGTTTTAAAGGCCGCCAAACTGCATCATGCTCCGGGCAGCCATTACAGTAAAAATGCCAATAGGCAACCCAGCCCAATACTCTCGTGTGCCCCATTTCTCAGCCCCATCTACAAATTTTAAGAATGCGAGCCCTGAGGAGCAGGCAGAAAGCAACTCCAGGCGTGAAGAAAAAAATAAAAATGCAACTTGAACAAGGGGATATTGGCAATTCACACTCCAGGTCTCAAGTTTACATTTTTAAACTTCCAGTCTGAAGTTTTATTTTTAACGTGAAGGATATACACATCAGGTGAGGCAACCCAAAGAGGCATCCTCTCAAGTCCCGGATTTCTTATGCGCGATCATCCTAACGCATCCAAGAAAGGGGTGGACCACGAGGGAAGGACCCAGAAGATGAGACAGACCTCCACGCATGAAGAACCAGACCAACAGCTTATTTTTAATTGCTATTGCCGAGATTCATGATACAGAAACTGCAGTCGAGTCCATTCGGGCAGCAGCCTTAGCTCTGTGGGGAAGGGAAGGAAAGGACACGCTTGGGTGCTGGTTGTAAGACCAGCCAGTTCCCTGGAGCAACACGGGGGGGGGGGGGGGAACGGAGACCCCGGGGGCGGGATTTAGGCACTCACCGCCGGACATTCAACTGCCCCACTGTTGATGTCATCTATGACGTCATGGGGGTGCCTGCCATCGATACTGCAGCCAACAGACTGGGCGGTTCCCAGGATCTCCTTGATGGTCCCTACAGGGTAGGCAAGAAGAGGCTCCTCCTGTTATCCCCATGCACTACAAGCAGTGGAACGACCCCCCACCCAGCTCTAATGTGGGTGCAATCCTTGTGAGCCTTGTTTCGGGGGGGGGGCACAGTGGACTGTGCCTCTGGGCAGGTCTCTGTCCCTTCGGCAAGCATGCTGCTTGTCTGGCGAGCCAGTAGCCCACTCTGGTCCCCCAAGGACACAAGCGTACCCTGACGAGCCCTGGGCTGACGGCAGGCTGTCCCAGGAGACCAGTGGGACCTCCTCAGGCAGGCCCAATCAGAGCCACTTCTCAGAGCACCCTTCCCTCTCTGGGGCCCCCGGGATGGGCCGGGAGTGCAGCTCCCCCAGCTCCTGGCCAGCGGTCCAATGCATCAGAAGAGCACCAGGGCCCTGGCAATCAGCTCCGGGCACATCCACGGCTGCTCTTGCCCTCTGGAGAGCCTCAAGCTGGGGAGCGCTGCTGCTGCTGCTCAGACCATGCAAGGACGGCCAATGGATTATGCCAAAACCAGCCCGATATTGGCCTGGATGGACCCATAAAAGGGACTGTGAGGCAACCGCCTGAGCGTCTGGAGGGCAGGGCCCAGCTCACTGGATGAGCAACAGATGCGCATGCAGCAACGCCGCAGACGCAACTTGCACCACCAGTACCCTATGCAAGAGGCTGTGCTGGGGGAGACGGGAGGGGGAGTAGGACATGCCCCAAGTCCTGCGGAAAGGAGCCTGCGGTTTTCCTCCTCCTTCCTGCCATTTTCCTTGAGTACCATGTCTTTTGAGACTCCCCCCGCCCCGCCCCCAGCATGGAATGGCTCGTCTTGCTAAAAATACGTACATCCCTCGGGGGGAACTTTTGGACCAGGGAACAGGTCTAAGTACACTAAAGGGCACTTGCACCCTCAGCCCCCAGGGCTGCCCCCACTGGTACCTGAGAGCTCCCGGGCCAAGGACCTGTGCCTCATTTGCCGAGCAATGTTGACGATCTCTTCGAAGCTGACACTGCCGCTGTGCTTGACTGCAACAGAGAGCGCACGCCATCAGTCTCCTGGGCCTCCCAACCAGTGCCACCCACAGTAAGTCACAGGCCCCTCCCTCCCTCCCTCATAAAGGAGAGCAGGACCCCTTGTCCCGGCCGTGTTCCCAGTTCGCGGCACAGAGTTACCCACGGAGAGAGTAACACTGTTTCCTAGAACGGGGGGCTCCTCTCAGCTCACCACTGGAATGCACAAGCCACAGCTGAACGCAGACTTGCGCGGTGGCGGGTGGCTGGTGTACAAAGGGGTTGAGCACCCTCCAGTCTGCCCACCACAGCTGGAAGCAACACTGCTCTTCCGCTCCCGCGTCCGCTGGCCTACTTCCCTGACCGTATGCAGATGAGAGATGCCCCACGCTCCTGACGGCAGGGCTGAGTGAACCCTCTTCTGGACTGCGTAGGGGCCTGATGCCCTAGCTATGTTTTGGACCCCTGCCTGCACTGACTGCCCCTGCTTATCCGCCCCCTCACCTGCCGAAAACATTGGCACCTGGCCATTTGCCTGTGCTGTGACCTTGTCTCTGGGAATCCAAGAGTCCACTGCAGCCGGCTGAGTCCAACCCCCATGGACAAAGACCCCGCCCCCATGAGACACTCACTGTTCTTTTGCTTCTTGCGGTCCCGGGGCGGTTCCTTCAGGGCTTTGATGATCAGGGCGGAGGCGGAGGGGACCACCTCGATCTGCAGAGCCAAATTGCGAGTCATCAGATGGTGGTGGGGCACCAGCACCCAAAGCCTGCAAGCCAAGACACGCCTCCCTTCATGCGAGAGGGCGCAAGCGAAAAAGCCCTCCCGGGGAACAGAGCCCGAGAAAGGGCACACCCTTTCCCCTCTGGATCGTGTCCCCAGCTTTTCGGCACAGGACTCCTCACAGTCAGGGAAGAGCCCTGCTTCCTAAGTTGGGGGAGCGCTGCTCTGAGCTCACCACTGGAATGTGCCAGTCCTGGGGGGGAGAGAGACACAGCGGCGGGTGGCTGCGAGGCGGAAGGGCCGGCCCTTTCTGCGTTTGGGGGCAGGACACTCCTTTTGGAGACCCCCACAGGGACTCCACTCTGGAGAGGAGCAGATGGCAAAGCCAACACGCAGTACCAAAATACCATCCTATCTTGACAGGATGCAGTGATGCAGGCACAGCTTCGCCCAGACGGGGAGGTCCCAGGCAGAGAAATGCAACCACGGCCAATTCCAACTTGTGTGGGGCCAGACACCTTTGCTAGTCAGCAGCAGAGGGCCGACCTGCAGCTGGCCTACCTTACCAGGATGCTGCAAAAACTTAGGTCACTGCTTCAACCAATTTGCCAGCACATGCTGGGGCCTGAAAGCGCCAAAGGCGCGATACAGAAAACCCCCATATTGTTCGGTGCTCTGCTCAGGAGAAGTGGGAGACACTTTTTTCCAAGCACCTTCTATCATGCCAAGCAGACAGATGCATCAGCAGCCCTGTGCCCCAAGCTCACAGCCCACTCCTCACCCACACAGCCCTGCAACCCAGGGAGATCACACGCAGCCCCCTCCCCACAAGGGGCCATACTTCTGAGGTCCGGCCCCAGAGACCCCCCACACAGCACGCCGTGTGGCACTCATTTTATCGACCTCGGAAGGATGAAGGGCTGAGTCAACCCTGCCGGGATCGCGGCCCGCAGTGCCTGCCTGGAGGGGCTCTCGGGAGCCCGGGCAGGCACTGACCAGAGCCATCCCTTGCGGCGTTGCCTGTACCTGCGCTTGCCTGTTCTGGATGGTCAGTTTCACGGTGATCCTCAGTCCTTTCCAGTCGCCCGTGGCCTTCGCAATGTCATCCCCCACCTTTTTGGGAGACTGGGAAGAAAACGCACAGGCTCGATTCCGTTCGCTTCCCTACTCGCACCCCCTTTCCCCCTCACGAGGAAAGCAGGCAACCTTCCTCCTCCACTGCATCCTCACAACCACCCTGTGAGGTGGATGAAGCTGGGAGTCGGTGGCCGGCTCCAAACCTCCCAGGGAGCTCTGTGGCCAAGCAGCAGTCAGAACCCATCAGATCTCCCAAGGCCGAGCCCAACGTAAGACTCATCGTGCCACTCCAGCACGATGGAGTCAAGGCTTGGTCAGGTGAGCAACGTGGGAAGCACAAACTTTCTCTGAAAGAATCTAAAGAGCCTTCCCGGGTTGGATTAGGAGCCTCTTGGGCTCAGCATCCTGCCGACGGACCACGCAGGAGCCTCAAGGACACCCGCAAGTGGAACACAAGACCGCCTTCCTGCTCATACCCCCAGCAGTCGGTCCGTGGAGTGCCCTGCCCGCAGCTCTGGAGACAGCCATCGTGACTATTAACCATTCATGGCCAGCCACAGGCTCTCAGCCCAACCCACCTCACAGGGTTGTTGTTGTGGGATAAGATGGAGGAGGAGATGTAAGCTGCCTTGAGCCCTTTGTAGGAAAAAGGCAGAATAAAAAAATCGAAAAATAAATAAGGCTGTATCCTCCACGCACGCCAGCTGCCTTCTGCTATTGCCCAGTATGAGCTAAGAACATTCCCTCTAAAATAAAGCTCTGCTTTGCGCACAGGCCTAGAGAAGTTACTAGTCCACAAAAAGTTATCACAAATCTGGATGGGACTATGGAGAATGCCATCCAGGGCAAGGGCCAGCCCACTAGACATGTCCAGAGCCTACCTTACCAGATTGAGGATTTTTTTCCCCTTAAAAGTTACCACATAGAGAGCCACTGAAGCGGACACTTCTGCCCAGGCTTCCTAGACAATCGACAAGCTTTCTCATCCATGTTTCCCAGCCACCAAATTAAGCCTCAAATAAACAGCAATTTAGCTTTGAAGATTCGTGGAAGGGAGAGGAAGCGATGGCATTATGCAGGCTAAAGCTGAAAACTAGTTCAATCAGAGGAAACTCACCAGGCCGAGAGGCCCGATTTTTGGAGCCAGAGCAGACGTGGCGCCAACTTCACCTCCGGTGCATCTCAGGTACACTGCGGGAAGGGAACAAAATGAAGCACCAAGTCAGTGCTGGGCCAAAGGATGCCAATGACAAAACATGGACACCGCAGCAGGTCAACCCTGGTCTGGATGATAGCAAGGCTGACAAGGAACGTTAAAAAATTAATAAAGACATCTTAATAATCTCCAGCGTAAGGTCCCATAACGGAGAATAGATTGGAGAACACAGCCTGAGATGCACACTGGACACAAGAGCGAGGCGTTCACACGTGTGAAGCCTGCAGACACGCAGCGCCTTAAAGGACAGGCCGGTCCAGCGACGCTCCTTGGGCCCGACGCCCGCATTAGCCACGATGGCCAGACGTTCCGGCCGCAAGACCTACCGACTTTGATCTCGTTGGGGTCGAACTTGGGCGGCATGGCGGCAGCGCGGGGGGCGGGCTAAGTACAGGCGCGGATGGCAGCGGATGCAACGACCGAAGGGCCCAACCTCGAGCCGGAGACGGGGCAGGAAAAAGGTCCGCCGGGTCGAGATCGCGCGTGATATACCAGGGGAAATCTCGCGGGACTCACCGGCGAAATCCCGTGTCTTCGCATCCGCGAGCACCGTCTCTGACGAAAGAGGCGATCGAGGCCATGTTAGATTTGGGCAAAAAAAAAAAAAAGGGCACCGTCATGTCGGCTGTAATGCTAGGAAAAGGAACCCACAATTCCACTCGTCTATCGACTACCGTACCGTATCTATATGGTAAACTTTGTATACTGCGCCTCAGGACGCAAATATTCGAGTTGAGATCTGTAGCGGAAGTGCTGTTGAACCTGGCCGGAACACTTCTCTATAGACCACGTCTCGCATGCTCCGCCATTTTGACTCCGGGCATAGAGGAGCGATTCCTCCCGGGAAGGACGACGGTCCGGCCTCCGGGACCAGCAAAGAGGAGAGGTGCTTATGGGATGCGACCGACATGAGGGGAGAGGCAGGTCATAGAAATTTGCTGAGGTGACTGATTGTGCCTTGACGGGAGCAGGAGAATGAACTGGTAAGTACGGTGCGCGAGAAGGGACAAGAGCGAAGAGGGCGACAAGACCGGTCTGGGAAGAAACCCTGAAGTACGGGGAGCGAGAAGGGACATAACCCATGGGGGCGGGGCGGTTCCTCAGCAGCAGCCCCGCCCTCTTCCGTTTCGGGCGTGGCCAGGGAGGTTTGCATTCCTGACGCAAGGCGACTGTGTAAACGTCCCAGGTGGTCCTTTGGCACCCAACCCCACCGGGCTCCCGTCCGCGGTGCGCAAAGCTGGCATGACAGGCAGGACGCGAGCAGCACCTGTTGCGCTTCTGCCTGGAATCTTCGAGCCCGCCTCCCGGCCCCTCTTGCTTTAAGAAAAGCAGGGGCTGGACGAGGAGCCCTCCTGCCTGCTCCAATGGGGCTTGCTGTCAGGTAAGGGTGCCGATGCCCGGGGCACGAAAGTGTGTGGTCCCCAGAGACAGGTGGGTGGGGCCAGATGGGTCGTGATGCCCCGTACAGACAGCAGAGCAAGTCTAAGATGTGTGTGTGGGGGGGGTCCTCATGGCGAGAGTTAGATGAGTTAGCAGGAGGAAAAAAGCAAGGTGGGGGCCGTCTGGTATACGTTCATGGGGTTCCAGAGAGACCGAGCGGTGGGCGAACTCTAAGATTGTGGGGTCTCATAAAGAGAGAGCTGAGCCGTCGATTGTGGGGCTCTATACAGTCAGATGTACAAGCCCTAAGATAACAGAGGCCCCTAGAGGCAGATGAAAAAATGGGGGGGGGTTTGGCTTGAATCCACGGCATGAGAAATCTAATCTATATGTGAATAAAAACTCCCTGAGCTCCTTTCTTGGGTTGCTCATCTTTTATTCGTGTTCAAGGATTTGTGTGTGCAAAGAGTAAGCAGTTTCCCTCACTGGCACTGCGAAGGGGTCCAATCCTGGCCCAGGTGGACCAGCTCAGTGAGAACTAGGCCAGGGTTCGGGTTTCTGCCTGTCCTGTCTCCTGCCCCCTTTTCGGACAAGGGCCCGTCCCGGCCCGTCAGACGTTTTGCAACATGCCGTCTGATGGAGGGGAGCAGCGGCGTCGCTCACTCAATGTCCCTTTGCCAAGCGCAGCCGCCGAGAACGCGCTTCCTGGCACCCGGAGAGAGAACTGCTTATGGGTCTTTGTCCATGAGGAGCAATTTCCTGCAGGATGCTTGTGCCTTATCTCACTTTTCTGCATCACAGTAAAAGAGCTATTCTGGCAGACGGTCTGGCTACTGTTAAAGGCAGCAGAATGTGTTGGCTGGTGTGGTGCAGTGGCTGGAGCCAGGGTGGCATGGTGGGTGGCATATCAAAGAAGAACTGGGGGGACTCAGGTTTGGGGGTTTGGGTCCCCCTCCTTGGCCGCGAGGTTCCCTGTGTCACTTTCGGCCAGTCGCTGATTCTCAGGGTTGTTCTGAGGATAAACTGGGGAGGAGAATCATCGCAGAGCCAGTGGAAAGCACTGGTCAGAGGACTGGGCTGGCATTTGGGGGAACCGGGTTCAAGTCTGCAGACAGCCATGACGCTCACGGGGTGACTCAGAACCTGGCCCAGACCCGTTGCCTGGCCCCCCTCACAGGATGCTGCGTGGCTCACATGGAGAGGCAGAGGAGCATGTTCTCTTCTTCAGAGGGTGGGGCGGCAGGTTGAGTGGAACCCGCTGGGCAGGAGCTGCTGCTTCTGCAAGTGACTGCGATGTCACCTGGGGATTCCTGTTGCTCAGGTTGTGCTTGCCCACCTGCCTCTTCCATTGACCTTCTTCCTTCTGTGAACTGGGGTAAAGGGAAAAGCCACCGAGATGCTGCTCTTCCGGAAAAAGAAGCCCAGCGATGAAGCCCGGAAACGCCTCGAGTACCAGATGTGCCTGGTAGGTTTCCCCGGGGAGCCTTGCCTGGCCAGGTGAGGTGGTGCCATCGGCCAAATCAGGTGCCAAAGAGAAAGTTGGAGGGAGTGTTGCGCAGCCTTTTCTGAGCGTGGTGGTAGCCTTCCTGGAGAGAAAATGGGTGCCCAGATCCTATGGGATGTAGAAGAGAGGCGCTGGCACGTAGCTTGCCTTGCTACAGGGCCACAGGGTCCCCTTCTCCGCAGAGGCCCAATTCCATGCTAAAAGATCTCTAGGCTGCATTCCAGGCCTTAAATGTCTCCATATTTAGCTCTGAGGTCTTCCTAAATCTTAGGAGAGGCAAGAAAGCATTTTAGAATTGCATGGGGCAGGCTGCACAGAGGCCAGGAAATCCACCCCATGATTAGGGGCCAGGAAAGGAGGTGTGTGGCCACCGGGCGGTTTCTGGCAAGCCACATCGGGACTGGAGGCAGGCAGGCCCAGCCTCCCAGTTGGTGGTAGGGACCAGCGTGGCGTAGCAGTTTCAGTGCCGGACTGGGACTCAGGAGCCCTAGGCTGTGGTCCCCGCTCAGCCATGAGCTCACTGAATGACTGTGGGCCAATTACTAACTCCCAGCCTGTCCTCCCTCACAGGGCTGTTGTGAGGATCTGATGGAGCAGAGAAAGATTGTGCAGGCCCCCTTGGGTTCCTTGCAGGAGGGAAAGGGTGGGACGTAAATATAAGGAATAAGGCCTCTCCTCAAAAGTGTACAATCCGGAGCAAAGCCACACAAAGGCAGCCAGGCCTGTCCACTGGTCTCCTTCTCTGGAGGCATGTGGGAGCTGAGACGGGGAAAGGACTGGCGTTCAGTCCCTCCGCTCACCGGGAAGGAGGGCAAGCGGACAGCGCCAGCCTTGGCCCTCACCGGAGGGGATGCACTGCAGTTTCTCCACGGGTCGTATGAGTGGGAAGGCACACTTCCTTCCCTGGCCTGGCCCAGAGTACACACCATGAGCCGGAGAGGCAGAGAGGCTGGCTGGCGCACTGTGTGGCTCTTCCTCACGCTGCTGGCAGCCAGCGATCAAAAGCCGCCAGCGTTCTCTCGGGCAAGTGGGGCCTTCTGGATTCGCAAGCACAGCTCACCATTTTCTGTCCCTGGACAGGCAAAGGAGGCTGGGGCTGACGACATCCTGGACGTCTCCAAATGCGAACTCCCAGAGGTATGACAAGTGCAGATGGAAGGCTGGGCACCTGGGAGGTTTGCCCTGCCCGGAGCAGGGAGATGAAGGGGCTTCTCCGTTTCTGCCTCCGTCCCTCTTGCTCTTCCCGTGGGGTGACGCACTGGGCACTCACTCCACCGTGGGGCAGGCGTGTGGGTGACCTTTCCGCCATGGGCCTTGGGTTGGCTTTCTCCAACCTGGTGTCCTCTGGAGATGTTAGACTTCAACTCCCATCCTTCCCAGCCAGCGCCTGCCAACTGTCATTCCCTTGGAATGATGGGAGCTGTAGTCCAGCACATCAGAACACCTGGTTGGACCCAATGAGCTGGCTTGAAGGTTCTTTTCCAGCACCTGCTGGTTCTTCTCACTGTTTTCCAGTTGGCTGAAAGTGGGTTTCTTTTGTGCATCTGTGTTTTCTGTTTGCTCAGCTTCCATATGGAGCGTTTGCGACTTGTAAAGTCCTGCAGAAGAAGGTGAGAGGCATGTTCCTGTATTTTAGCCAGCATATTATGGGTTGTTGTGAGGGATGGGGATGAGCATGTGGTTGCTGCCTTGAGTGACTAAGGGGAAGAAAGCTGGGGTGTCAGTGGCAGTGCATGAATGCAGGCACTCTGAGGGACCATGAACTGAGAAGCTGAATGGGTGCCCCCAGTATAAACCAGTTTGAGATGTGGGAGTTTCCAGTGCAGCATCCGTAGCCAAGCAGGGACCTGCAGCAAGAAGAAAATGATCAGCAGAGTCCCATGGAAGCCTTCTGGCAGAAATTCTGGCTGATGTAATTTTGGCATACGACGACTTTTCTTTGTCCTGGTTTACGTCTTTTAAACTGCCTGGTGGATCTTTCCATTGATACAAAAGAATTCAAAATCCCACCTGGTCTTGTTGGCAAAGACTATTTCCAAATTGCTTTCTGGCGGAAGTGTTTGCCTCCTTAAAGGTGCAATCTTAGAATCACAGAGTAGTGGAGTTACAAGGGCTTTGCTGGCTCCCCGAGTGGGGGGGGGGGGGGGGGGGGGTGCTTGCAGGCAGCAGCAGCAGCAGCTTGGTCGTGGTGACACAGACTGTGATGGAGGGGATCCGTGCCGGCCTTCCCTAATCCTGCACCCTCCGGAGGTGCTGAATGGCGCTCCCAGCAGGGCAGGACTCTGGTCAGCACCTCCGGAAGGCTCCGGGCTGGGGAAGGCTAGCCCAGGTGAGCCACGCGGCCCCCCCCGGGGTCTGTTGTACGCATCTCTTTCCTCTTCTTTCTTGCTCAGGTGCTGATCGCTCATTCCAATCACCTCACATCTCTGGTCCCCAAGTCCTGCAGCCTCCTGAATTTAAGCACTGTAAAGGTAACTTTGGAGATCTTGAGGGAAGATGATTTTGCCAGGTTTGGGCATCAGTCAGGATGGAGACCTTTGAGTCTGGACATGAGGAAGAAGGCACTGAACCACTGTTCCCCCTCCCCACCGCCCAATAGCCAGAGCTCTCTGGACAGTTCACAGAAGAGTTCAAAACTACAGTACAAAATAGAAGTAAAAGGCAAGGCCAGAGAAAAATCAAAAACGTAAATGCAGGTAGCACTGCAATCCTGTGCAGGTTTAGACAGAAAGGAGGCCCACAGGTACCCTGCCTGCTGGAAACCACATGTCTTTTTCTGTCTAAACTTGCACTGGATTGTGCCTAAATGGATTTAAACCAACTTACGTCAAAGAGCTAAAACTCTTGGAGAAATAGGGAGGTGTTCGCAGCTGGTACCACAGCCAAAAAGCCCCCTCCTTAGCAGCTGCCCACTTCACATCCTTTGGCAGGGGGGTCCTTCACCCTGAGCGGGCAAGGGAGGCAGAAGGTGCTCCTGGTTCCAAGCCCCTAAGGGCTCTCAGCATCAATAGTGGCCCTTCAGATCAGTCCCAGACATGGACTGGCAGCCAGCAAAGATGGTAAACTATTACCTTCATTTCTGAGCGGCTCAGAAAAAGACACACCACACAATTATAAAAACATAATATAGAATTGCTAACGTACAACGTTTAAGCTGCAAGCGACTGCCCCTTAAGATGTCGGCTCTCGTAAGAACAATGAGCTTGGGGGTCTCCCAGTTTGGGTGTGTGATTGTACATTTTTTCCCAGGTTTTAGATCTGCATGACAACCAGCTGACTGCGCTTCCTGCTGACATTGGTCTGCTGACATCCCTCCAGGTGAGGAGGTACTCCTGTTCTTGGGGCTTTTCCAGACCCTTTTCTGGACCGTTCTATCTATACGAGTAAAAAGAAGTGTATGTTTGTCCATCCGTCCGTCCATCACTGCCTTATCTCCAACACTGACACTGGAAGCTGGTCGTACCTGTGAAGGGCACCCCAAGGGTGTATTCTTTGGTGTTCTTTTGTGATTAGCACATTAATCGGTTTTAATAAATCCAGGTGTGCCTGCCGTGTCCATGGGGCTGAGTAGCAGTTCCAAATTAAGCCATGCGGGGAAGGCTTCGTTAACCAGTGCAGGGCTGCGCAGTCCATACAGGCTGAAGCCAAGGGAAACGGGGCTGGGAGACTCAAGTCACGCACCTGGCCCCTACCTTTGCTGTGGGGCAGGCCCCCTTCCTGGGATGGAGTGGGCAGACCTGACCCTTGCGGGGCGAAAAGGGTGCTCCGTGGCAGGACTGTGTGTCGGACAGCCAGCAGGGATGGGTTTGCTCCGGCAGGTTGCTCAGTGAGCGCCTTCACCAGGCTGTTTCAGCTTTGCCCTGAGCGGAGTTTGTTGCCTCGATCTTTGCACGGTGTGTGTTTGCCACGGCTCCCCATGAGCGCTCCCACCTCTCTTCCTGCCAGGTCCTGAACGTCGAAAAGAATCTCCTGAAGGCACTTCCAGATTCTCTTGGGGAACTTGTCCAGCTGCAGACCCTGAATCTGAAAGGTGGGCCAAAACATGCTGGGTGGCAGTTTGCTTACCCCCGTGCCACCTGGGAAAATGGGCTCCGATTTGCCCGCCAGAGGGCCCAGGACCAGCTTCTGAGGAAAGCTGCAGGAAGCCAATCCTGGGAACAACCAGGGCCCACCTGCTCCTTGTAGGGAGCCTGTTTCTGAACACCCTAGATAGCTCTGGCCCAGTCTGCTCCCATCAGTTCCTGCCCAAGAGCTAAAATTGTGTTCATTCTGTTTAACCATGACACCCTAAATCTTTGATCTGTTGCTCCAGTTAGTAACTTTGCTGCCAGCCCTTTCATATTCTGGTGTTTCCATCTGTTGCATTCTTGGCTGTTACAGTTTGCTGAGTTGCTTGGCTGAAAACTGTCCCAAAGGCATTTTGTCAGCTAGACAGTGTAGAAAATTGACAAATACACAAGTGTGTGTATGTGAAGAAAGCTTGGTGGAAAGGGAGGGAATGTTGTGAAATGCACGGTCCCCGGGAGAGTCGTCCCCTGAAGCGGAGTCGTGGGGGATCCAGGAGAGGCGCAAGGCAGGACTTTTCACGTACTGCAGAATTAAACTCTGGGATGCACTTCCGCGAAAGTGTCATGGTGGCCACGGCTTTGGGAGGCTTCAAAAGGGGTTTAGAAAAATTAACTCCTCAGACAGAAGAGTCCGCAAGCCAGGTGGTACCACTGCAGAAAAGGCCCGTCTGCGTGTCCCCACCAAGTGGAAATCTGTCTAGCGGCGCCCACCCAGGCAAAACGCAGCCGCATTCTTCCCCCACTTCGGGTTCTGCTTTCTCCCTGCAGCCAACAAGCTGAAGGCACTGCCAGACACGCTGAGAGGACTGCGAAGCCTGCGGACCTTGGACATCAGTGAAAACCTTGTGCAGAGGTTGCCTCCAGCGACGGCTCACATCCGGACCCTGGAGGCATGTGCCGTCCACCTCCTCCTCCTCGGCTTCCCTAGGAGTTGAGTTTGCGACCCTGTGGGGCAATTCACGCGGGGCAATTCTGGATGGGTTGGCTGTAGGCTTGGTGCCTCGTGTGACATCCTTCCGAGGGCCAGGCAGAGGCGGGCTGGGGAAAAGCAAGCCACGGTGCTGGACTGTGCATGTCTGTTCTGCAGACGCTGACCCTGGACGCCTCGGCCATGACCTATCCGCCCAGCGGCACTTGCAGCGCTGGCACAGAGGCCATCCAGCGGTTCCTGTGCGAAGGTGAGTGAAAGAAAAGGCTTCCCCAGCGCGTGCGGAGTGCGTGCATCTTCCAGGGATGCGTGGAGTGGGGGCCCAGAGTCGCGAGGCCTTTCCGGAAAGTTGTTCGCTCTGCATGATGTGGGTTTGTGCCTCTCCCTGCTGAGACCCCCGTCAGAAGCTTCTGGGGCCACGCTGCAGTGATGCCTGGGCCAAGGGGTGTCCCCGGCACCCCAGCGGCAGCCATTCTCTCCCGCAGCCCGCTTCATGGCTGAGCAGAAGTTTGGACCGGATCCCCCTGGTTCATGCTCAACTCTCCCTGCACTGCACCACACAGGATATGACCCCGGGCCCTTCCTCTCCTCCTAAGATGCCTTGCCTTCCTCTAGAGCTGGGCATTGAGTACACCCCCCCCTCCCAGTACCTGCTCCCCATCCTGGAAAGCGGCAGAGGCGAGGAAGCCGTGGACGGTGTCAGCGCAGCGGTCTGCAGCTATGCGGACAGCGAGGCCGAGTGGCAGGTGCGTGCCGGAGCGGGCCCCGTGGCACACGGGCAGAGGGCTCTCCACCGAGTGTCCCCTGAGCGCGTCAGGGCTGGTTTTGCAGGCAGGTGCGGGGCTGTCAGCGAAGGACAGTGGTACCAAACCTCCGTGTCTGGAGGACATCTCCAAAGACCTGACGCAACGCAAGGAAAACGGGAGGTAGAGGGAAGAAGGTGTCTGCTGTCAGGGATGCCATATTGGGCACCCGCCCCTTGAATTGTGAGTTGGGAGGCAGTCGGGTGCTTGGGATGTGTAATGTGTGCCGGTGGCTGGCGAAATTCCAGCTTAGCTCTCTGGTTTTGTTCCATTTTCAGAACAAATTTCTGGACTATGAGAAGCGGAAGGTAAGGAGGCGTCCCTTCTCTGTGCCCTTTTCCTCAGCATGCTCTTCAGAAGGCCTTTTCCACAGGTTCCTTTTCCTCCTGGGGCTCCCATGACATCACTGTATAGATCACACCACCCACAGAAATAGGAACTTCAGAGCCGGTTTTGGCTTGGTACCTACACAGAGAGGTGCACGATTTTTTTTGCGAGTTGCATCCTTCAGCTCACTCCAGGGGTCCCAGAGCAGCTTAACGGACATCCACTGGATTGCACTCTAAAAAGCACCACACAAAAGGAAAGCAGGAGGAGGAGGGAGGAGGAGAACAAGCGAGCCTGGGCACTCATTTGTATAGTGGCAGAGTTGCCCTGCTACTGGCCAGCTGGGCTGGGGAAAGAGGGTGCTGCTGCTGCTCAGTGGGTCTGCAGAGCTGTTAGTCACGGAAGGCTCCCCGCCTCGAATCCTGCGGGGCCCTGAGCGGGTGGGAGTGCATGCGATCGACAGAGCCCCTTTTCTGGTCTCTCAGGAACAGAAGATGCAAGAGAAGCTGGAGTTTGAGCGTTGGCTGGACCTGGAGCAGCGGGGGCAGGCACAGCTGATCCACCACAGCCAAGCCGAGAAGGGGGAGATCCTCCAGAGCATGAAAGAGGCAATGCCCAGTCACTCCCCTGTCTTCCTCCCCTCAGCTTATTTCGGTCTTCTCCTGCCCCTGCTGCTTTCATTTTTAAGACTGGTAACCCGCTTGGGGCAGCAAGTGTTTGCCCAGGAATTCCGAGTCGCAGCGCTGTAGCTCCACTTGGCAGAATTCCTGCCACCACTGCTTGGCCAGGCGGGAGTCCCGGACGCATTTCTCGCTCTCCTGTCTGCGGGAGTGAGCTCTCCTGGGCCGGGTTCAGGTCTGGCCATGGCCGCTCAGAGAGGAGGCGGTTGAACTGGGGAAAAGGCAGCCAAGGGCAGCTCCAGATCGCCTCTCAGCCCAGGGGCCGACTTCCGTTTTGGGGATGCTCCTGGGGCCGCCCAAATGCCAGACCTCCCATTCTGCTGCTCAGGAAAGGCATTCCCGCGTTTTCCACCTCGAGGGAAAGCTTCATGAAGGCCAAGAAACCCATCCAGTTGTTTTTTGTTGGGGAAAGGTGAGGTGGGCTCATCAGGGAAGCCCATGGGAATGGATTTGGGCCACCAGCCCCAGGTTCCGGCCCTGAATGGTGGCGTTCCGGTTTTCTCTTGGGCCCTAGGAGCAGGTGAGGCTGGAGCAGGGCCTGACACGGCACCAGCAGCGCCTGGGGGAGGAGCGGCTGAAGCTGCTGGAGCAGCTGAAGGACATGGAGCAGGGCGTGGCGAGTCGGATCCAGAAACTGCTGGAAGATAATCGAAGGTCAGAGGCGGCGCAGGGCAGCTGTGGGTCCAGGACGCACATCACCCATTCTGGTGCCCGATCCGTGCGGCGTTTGCCAGGGGAGACGAGCGCTTGGGCAGAGGCTGCCTTCCCTCTTCTGACCCTTGTCGTTTCTGCTCCATATTCCCAGGCAGAAGCAGAGCTCAGAGATCCTCAAATCCCTCGAGAATGACCGGTGAGTGCGTCCCGGCTGCCCCGGCTTGCCCAGCGGGGTGACGGCTTCGTGCGGCACAGCGGCAGAGCCAGGCTGCCCTGGCGGACTTGGCTCGCCTGTTTTGGCAGCTGCAGCCCCTCCGCCGTGGATGCAGAACCTCATGCTCTGGGTTGTCCTCGCCACCAGTAGTCCTTTGGTGGTTTCCTGGCTTGCGTGGGTGTTCTTCCTACCCCTTCCTGAAAATCTGATCCCTTAATTTGCTCCCCAGCCTTCCACTAAGCAGTGGAAAGAACCACTGGCAAAATTCATGGCCATTTCAGCTCCCCGCTTTCAGCCTCAGCCCTGGCCACCCCCAAGTTTCTCCAGAGGGCAATTTGGCCCTCAGGAGCAAGGGGGCCACTCAGCAGAAGGGCTGTTCCTCAGTTTCTTCTGGGGAGCCTCCAGGCCGGCCCCCTGCACGGTGCCGTGCTTCTCCTGGAGCAACTGTATACCTTCCTTTGAAGAGCACCGGGCCTCCCCCTGGGCTGTGTGCAGACCTGACGGCTGAACACGGCCACAGGCCTGCCGGACCTTCCCCGTCTCGGTCACCAGGGCAGAGACGGAGCCGCTCACCCTCCCTCTTTGCTCCTAGGATCCGGATGGAGCAGCTGATGGCCATCACCCAGGAAGAGGCGGAGCAGCTGCGCCGGAGGGAGGTGGCTTGTGAGTACGGCACCCAGTGCTGCGTGGACGCCTCGTGTCCCGTCGGACACAGCCGGCCCGCAGAGAGGCTGGGCGAGGAGACCCGCCTCGAGAGTCCGCCAGCCTCACGTTAACGCCGTTTGCACCCCGTCCTTTAGCACAGGCTGCAGTCCGAAAAAGGCGCGGCATACAAACAGGCGGGGTCGGCAGGGAAGACAGGAAATTCAGTTGTTCGGCAGAGCGGGGAGCAGTCCAGCGCCCCCTCCTCCCTCTCCCTGTGTGTGCAACGTGTGAGAACTGCAACAGAGGGTGGTCGCGCTGCTGGTGTGCCCATTCCGGCCGTCGGCCGCCCCTTCCCAGGCAAGGCCGTTCCACCGGGCCTTTATCGACCCAGCAGCAGACGGGGTCGGCCCCCTCGGGGACAGGCCAGGCACTCTGTCCCCCAGTCTCCCCTGCTGCTGCGGGGTGGGGCTCCTCTGATTTGCCCCAGGGACAGGGCGTGCACACGCTGTTCCCTTCAAGGGGCAGCCCCCAGAGCCGCCCTGCACCCATTGCCGTCTGGGCTGAGTGCGGGATGGGGCGCTTGGGCTGTCCCCAGCCGGGCTCGAGAGGCTGCGGCCAGTGGGACAGCCACCCGCCAACTGCGCCGCCGCCCTGCAGCTCCACCCAGGCGTTGGCCATGGGGGCCTGTGCACCTTTGCACCAAAGCAGCCGAGGGGAGGGAGGGGGCGGTCCACCCAGCGCCTCGGCTGCAGGGGCGCGATTGTCCCCGTGTCCCCCGGGAGACCCCCGCAGGCTGCTTCCCCACGAGGGGAGGGGCCTGGCCTGCTGGGACACCCCTGCTGTCCTCTCTGGGCACAGACTGGAGCTGGCCACGGGGATTCCCCTCCCCGCGCCTCTCCTCCCAGTATCCCTGGGCCAGAGGCTCTGCACTGCTTTAAAGCGCTCTTTCCTCACTAAGCTGCAAAGTGATCTCGCGCTTGTCGCACGTTCAGAACCGTCCTGGGGCATTTCTGCAGAAGCTTTGCCTTGCCACCATTGCGACGTGCAGGAGGGAAGGGTGCGGAGGGACACACTGTCCCTCCATGAGTACCTCCAAGGCCGTCACAAAGGGGAAGGTCAAGGTCTCCTCTCACTCCTACCAGAGTGTAGGACACAGAATAATCAAGTTGTGGCGACCCAGATTCAGGCTGGGCATCAGGAAAAGCTTCCTCACTGCCAGAGCAACGCGACAGTGGGACCGGCTGCCTGGAGAGGTGGCGGGCTCCCCCACACTGGAGGCATTCAAGGAGAAACTGGATGATGTGAATTGGTGTCCTGCAACAGCAGGGGTTGGACCTGATGGCTTTAATGGCCCCTTCCAACAGTGCAATTCTGTGATTCTATGAACCATGTTAAAACAGGTTCTCTGGACTGGGGGAAAAGGAGGTTCTGGGTTCGAAAAGCGTCTGACTTACCCCTTTTTCATGCCTCCTTAGCTGCCATGCAGCAGATGCTTGCAGAGACATACAAACACAAGTTGGTCCAGATGGCTTACGAGTCGCGCCGCCAAGATCTCGTGAACCAGACTTGCTCCAGGTACTGCCGGAGAAGATGCGGGCGGCCGACAGGATGGGATTCCGGTCCTTTTTGAATCCTGCCTTTCAGCCCAGGAACGCTGGGCAAAGGGCACAGTCCGGTGTCCCCTTTATCTCCACAACAGCCCTGTGAGACACATGAGGCCAAGGGTCGGAAGGCTGGCCCGAGGCTCCATGGCCACGTGGGATCGAGAACCCGGGTCTCTCCGGGGCGGTCCAAGAGGATGGAGGAGGAGAGCTCCTTGCCCAGCCCAGCGGCATGCTGCAACCCTCCGGCTCTGCCCCACAGGCCAGGGCTCCTTAAGCACAGGCAGTCCAGCCCCGGGGCCGCCAGCTCTTCCTTGACGCCCCACTGGCATCTTTAGCCAAGGACCTCTGCGGTAACCCGCGAACTGTTCCCTCTCGCAGTTTGGCCAAGATGGACCAGAAGTTCCAGCAAATCCTGGCCTGGCAGCAGCTGGACCAGAACAAGGCCATCGGCCAGATCCTGCAGGAGGTATTTATGCGCAGGGTGGGAGCAGCAGCAGCCCCCCCCCCCCTCCCGGGAAAGCACAACACAAAAGGAAACGGGATGGGGAGGGAGGACGGGAAAAGGCCAACTTCGAAGGGCCACACTGTGGCTTTGGAGGTTTTTGCTGGCGCTCTTCCCGGGAGGAAGTGCCAGGGCAGCCTCCGTGTGGCAGCTCCTCCCCCCACCGATGTGTGGGGCCAGGCTGGTCTCCCCTTCCCATGGTGTGCATCCCATGAGGCAACACAGCGCAGCCCTGGTCCACCCGGTCAACAGCCGTCAGCACCAACGGGCAGCGATGGCCGTGCAGGGTCTGGGGCTGGATTTTCCCAGCCCTCCCTGGGGACGCTGCCAGGGGCCACATGGGGGCCCTTTGGCAGGTGACGCAAGAGTTAGCTGCCGAGAACGACCCTTCCTGTAGGAACGAGCCACTTTGCGCTGCTGGGCCCGCTCCATCTTGTCAGGATGAACCCTGCTTTCTGAGAACTGCCCCCTCCGTGTCTTGGCGCAGTCCCGGGGAGAGGCAGAGGGGGTTCCTGGGCGACAGGCTTTGGGGACCTCAGGCAGGGTGCCCCCCCAGGTCCCCCCGTGCAGCTGCCTCCTCGCCAGCTGCTCCCGCTTCCTCAGCGGGGCTGCCACTCGCTCGCTCGCTCAACGGGTGGCAGGAGACAAGGAGGCCACGACCTCCCCTGGGCCAGAGCAGAAGACGGGGACAGCAGCGGGCTGCACGAGGGGCCCGGAGGAACTGGCCCCGGGAGCGCTCCGATGGGCCCCTGCTGGGTGTGGGTCCTCGGCCGGTGCTCGCCCGCGCCTCCCTTGGACGCAAGCCCCGCTGCCCGCACGGCGTTCCTTTGCACAGCAAGGCCATGCGCTGCTCAGGGGCCCTTCTAGAATCCAAACCGTTACAACAAGCCTGACTGGCACCTCTCACCCTGTTAATGTTCCACCGGTTTACCTGCTTGCCCGGGAGGCGGGCAAATGACCAGGAACAGGCCCCGCAGCCAAGCCTGCTGGTGCCCTGTTTTGACGCTTCCCAGCAGGAGCCTTCTGGGCTGTCCCCAGAAACCCAGTGCTGGACCTTGGCTGCATCCAGCAAAGCAATTGTTATGCTCGTATAGTTTAATGAGGGGGAAAACAACGCCGGCCTTTGGAAGGACTCTGTCACTTTAGCAACCTTTCTGGGTGATTGGGTGGACTTCTGTGCTCGTTTTCCCTCTGTGCAGCCCTTTTTCGGGGGCCGGTTTTGAATAATTCTCTTCAAATATTTTCCTTGGTTAAGTGCACACTCTTGCAAGAGTTGTTTAAGAGCGGCCTTCCCACCCAGAGTGCAGGCATCTCGGGGCTGTCATTCTTCTCGCTGCAGTAGAAAGGATACCAGATTTGAAAACTTTAAAAAATGCCCCCACAAAGCAACAGGTTTCCTACAGGTAGAAAAATGGCTTTTCAGGATCCTGCGCAGCATTTTGCCTGGCTTGCTAGCTCTCTGTGCATTTTCCCTTTTTTTCAATGGCTCGCTCCGTTAGTTATGCAGCCCAAAGTGGTATAAGCTCCAGGACGGATTGTACCATCTGATTTTTCTGATGTACCCAACTTTTAAATGTGCTTGTTTGGTGGTGGTGGAGAAATATGATACATGGTCCAGATACATCCACATCCTTATGAGGGTCAGACCAAAGCCTTTCCACGCCATCCTTCAGCTACTGCAGTGGCCATGCAACCGCTTGTGGTAAACCCCCAAGGAGCGCAACAAGCAGCTCCGTATCCATATTCCACAGCAGCTGCTGCAAACTGGTGGAAACCAAGGGACCGTGCTGCCATCAGGACTAAGCATCCATTGATCGGCTTCTCCAGAAATTCCTCCTGGCCCCTTTGAAGCCACCGGAATGAGTGGCTGCTGCCGCATCTTCTAGAAGGGAATTCCACAGCTGAACCCTGCGCTGTGTAAAGAAGGGCTCACTTGGATCCGTCCCGATTCTCCTGCACACCAGCTTCAGGGGATGGTCTCCTTGGCGCCTGATATTACAAAACAGGAAAAGGTCTCCTCCTCCACTTTCTCCATACCAGGAATCTTAGGCAGGTCATGAGTGGAGCTGCCTGGAGCCAGGGGTCAGACTAGATGGCCCGGGGTACCCTTCTGACTCGCTCTGTTTCTATGTTATACTCTTCAGTTATTTGCCTTTTTGCTACGCATAGGAACCCCCAGTGTGGGATGGTTCCTTCTTAGCAAATGGTTCCAGCCTGTTGATCCATGAAGTTCTTGTACCCAGATGTACCTGGCCAGTCGCTCAGCTTCTGGGAGCCGGGGCGAGCTGGGAAGGCCCCTCTGCCCAGGGCCTCAGGCAGCCTTGCTCTGCCACGGAGGATGTTCCAGGCCAGGTGCTTGGCGCTGGAGCCCACGCTCGCACGCAGGCTGCAGGGTTGTTCCTGGCATGTCCAGGTCGGGCAGGAAAAATTCCTGCTGGAGAGCTGCTGCCAGCCCGTGTTGTCAGCACCAAGCCACATGCTTCAACGACCAGTGTGCTGATCAGTGTGTGAAGTGGCTCAGCCAAAACACAAGTTTGCAAAGTTTTGCAGGGAGAAGATCCTGGGCTCAGCCCGCCAATGCTGGGCCTGAGGTTCGAGTTCCCATTTGGGGAAGACACGTCTAGGCTAAGTGGCTCGTCATCCAAAAAAAGGAAACCTTGTTCAGCAGCTTGGTGGGGAAGCGCACCCTCGCATGCCAGCGTTTCAGTCGTCAGTTAAAAGGCTTTCCCAGTGGATGGCTGGAAAACACACAGCCCCTGCTCGGAGACTTGTCCATGCAAGAGCAACTCCTGGTGAAAGGGGCATTGGGGGGGGCGCTTACGCAGCAGTGTAGCAGCTAATCTTGCCAGTAACGTACAAGTGGGAGCCGTCCCCATCCAGGCTGCCTCTGCAGGGGGCGGGTCGGGTCCCGCTGCTCAGGGATGCTCTGCTCTCCTCCTAGAGCGAAATGCAGAGAGCAGCCTTCGAAGCCCTCCAGGTGAAGAGAGACCTCATGCACTGCCAGATCAGGAATCAGGTGAGTGGGATCCAGGGCCTGCCCCTTCCCTCCTGTGCGGGCGCCCTGCTCCAAGCCCATCCTGGGGGGAGCGAGGGAGTGGACTCATGCACCTTGCCCCCAGGGCTGGTGAGGTCATCCCAGGCGGCTCACTGCATTTCCATCCCACAACAGCCCACGGGAGCGTCACCTCCATGATCACTGTGGTTGTGTTTTTTCGTTTCTTTCTGCCACTGGCTGCTTGTTCAAACCCATTCCGACAAACGGGGCACACGTCGCTTATGAGGACAGGGCCGTGCCCCGCCAGGGGGGTGGGCTGTTGCCGAGGCCTGGGATGGCAGCATTTGCAGGTTCTTCCGACTCGACCCCGACAGGCTTGGCTGGGGAGCAGCGGGGCCTTCGCAGAGGGGCTGGTTGAGGGCATCCCTGTGCTTCGGTAGCTTTGCTGGACAGTCATGAGCTCTGGGCCATACCAAGCCCATGCCTGGCCTGCCTTCAGTGTTGCCCGGAAGCTCTCCAGATACTCGGGGCATGCAGGGACCCTGGGCTGGTGGTCTTGGCTTCCAGCGCACCCAGCAGCGGGCTGCTTGGTGGAAGAGAGGACTGTCTGGATTGAGCTGCCCAGATGCGAATAATTAGGAGCCGCCCCTGGCAGGCACAAGAGCGCCCGTTTCCAGCACAAGGCAGATCCACCTGAATGGCCAGCTGCCTCTGCTAGTTCGGCCATGCACCCTTGTCGAGTGGAAACTTGGCAGCCCACTTCCCACTGTTCCTTCCCTGTAGTCAGAAGGGTCCCACCCCACCTGCCCGGGCTGAAGACCTGGAGCAGCAAGGAGGACGAAACTCCTCAACCCAAAAGCAGCCGGCAGCCCCGCGGCCGGCTGCGGCTCTTCCGGCTTTGGTGAGGGACCCTCTCACTGGTCCTCTGAGGCCGCTGCTTGTGGTGCAGGGCTTTCTCCCGCCCCCCCCCCCAGGTGGGAAGGCTGCACTAGGTGAGGGGGTTGCCTGGAGGCCCCTGCAGCACTTGCCTGCTTCGGCTTGGCATCCTGAGTGCTTGGCGAAGGGGGCAGCATGACCCTCGCTGACAGCAGTGCCCTTTCCCGACGCCAGTCAAAAGCCACGCCAAAGGACCTCCGCCTTGTTTCATCTTCTGCCTAGATTAAGTTAATAGAGAGAGAGTTACTGCAGCTGACCCAGCTGGAGTTAAAGAGGCAACAGCTGGACACGGAGGCGTTGCAGGTACGTCAGCCTTCCGGGCCCTTGCTCACTCGCGCCCCTCTTGCCCCGCCTGCCTTCTGCTCTGCAGCGCTAGGAGGGCCCGGGGCTTGGCACAGAGTCGGGCCCCGGGCTCTCCCGGCTCCCTCCACCTGCAAACACTGCCGGCTCAGAGGCCTGGGGAGCCTTTGGTCCGCCAGGCCGGGAGCAACGGATGCCGGGGTTAGAGCTGGGGAGCTGAGGAAGAGAGCGGGACAAAAGAAACCTTGGCCTCCTGAGCATCCTCCATCATCTTCTTATTTTGCTGGCTTGGCTTTGATTCCTCTTCTTTCCCTTGTCCCAATACCCACCCTAAAGCGACATCCCAAAGGGCACCGTCCATCTCTCCACTCCCATCCACTCCGCTCAGTGAGGAGACAGGGCTGTGTGTGCTTTTGCAACGAGGCGTTTCCCCCTTTTATTTTGCAAATGGAAAAAACACACAGAAAAGCAGATATGGAGACCTTGCTAGCTTGTGGGTGTGCCTGTCAGAACCTCTCGAGACAGTAGAGGTGCTTGCCTGACAAGGGCAGTCAATCCAGCCTCACTTCCTACAGACTGGCTTTGCACCCCTCATTTATGCCAGTCGCAGATTTTAGCTTTTTTCCTTGGCGCGCAATTCTGAAGTGCAGAATACATGCACCCCGGGCATAGCTCATCTGGTCATAACCTGCGGGAGCTGGCCAGCCGGCCGGCCAGCTGGGCTGGTTCCGCCCTTTCTTGGATGCCTTTGCAATGATGCACTGTCCGGAGCGCGTGGGACCTGCCTGTTCCCGAGATCTGGAATTGCGTTTTTTAAAACGATGCTTTACTAGGGATACTGACAGAATGCATCTCCCCCAGGTACCCCAACCCAGATTTGGCCTTCCATTTTGCTGGCATGATTTCCAGACTGGCACTGGGGCAGGGCCAGACCAGCTTGGGGTTGGATTCCAGCAAAATTTTCCACAGAGAAACTGAATTGATAACAAAATTTAATAGAGCAGGTTGCTTTGTTGTTTTTAATTTCAAAACTGCACAGCAGGGCAGTCAACTTCCAACAATTCCAGCAGGGAGGCAGCTGCAGCCTCCAACCGTAGCTGACAGGAGGAAAACAGCAACTGGCTACTAAAAACCATCTTGGTCTAGGAGGGGATGCGGAATCTGGAATCCACCCCCTGGCCTCCCGCACTTCCACTCCCTCACTTCCTTTCCCCCATTTCCCCCCAATGCTTTGGGGGTTCCCTGGTTTTGGTGGAGCTTTTTCCCCCTGTCCAAAGGTTGCAATACCTTTCTCAGGCTTTTAATCACTGACAGAAACTGCTTTGAGCTGAAACGGGCCAACATTTTCTTTATATTTGGCCCTGCCCTGGCTACCTTTCCCCCTGTCCCCAAAAGGTGGCCCTTCTTGCTTTTCCACAGTGGACTTAGGGCCTCGGACTAGGGGAGATGCAGAATCTTCCGAGTCCTCGGCAGGGGCTTCCTCTGGGCATCCAGCCAAGTGGATTTGCACTGGGTTTGCTGTGTCCCGCACCAGGGGCTCCACCTTTCTGACCAGCATTTACCTGGACGCTAGAAAAGCGAATGGAGCAGGACCCGTTCCTCTCCCCCCCGCACTTGCTGCGGATCAAGAACACACTGTGTACTGCTGGCTCTTTTCATGAGGGCTTTAGTTTGGCTGGCGTGATTCTGTCCTGGGTGCTGGGGAGACAGTGGGGTGTCCGGGACCCGGGCCCGGCTTCCATGCCTGTGCACGGCTGCATTCCAGGAGGCGATTGCGGAGCAGCGGCGAGCACTCACCTACCTGCTGCAGCAGCTGCTGAAGGAGAAGAAGCAGCGGGAGGAAGAGCTCCAGGCAATCTTGGTAAGGGGGCGAGGGATTTTTCTCCCGGGAAGCCGGAGCTGCAGGAGCAGAGCTGCCCCATGCTAGGCGGATGCCTTCTCCATTGCCCGCTCTTGCCAGATGGGTTCTGGGCAGGCATGCCCAGGGCCGTCCCCCAGAGTGGGCAGGGCCAGCAGCCCAACCACGGGCTCCCTCGCCCCCTCCAGCCCTTTCCCACCGGAAGCAGGTGCTGAGGAAGACTCCCCTAGTGACCCTGCAGGGTTTCTTCCATGCCTTCATGGCAGATGTTTAACAGCCAGGCTGGACTGGGGCTTGGGGCAGGCGAGGCCAGAGACTTGAGCGCCTCATGCGCTTCTTATCCACTGTGGCTTTTATTTCTGGTTTGTAGGCGCTCTCCTTGGTGCTGAGCTCTGTTCTCGGCATGGAGCACCAGGCATGGTTCCTCTAAAACGGCAAAGCTGCAACAGCTGCGGAGCTGTGCTGCCGTAGGAGTCACCGGCCTCCCCCGGGCATGGGGGACAGGGTGGTCTTGCCATCTCCAACTTCACAGCGGCTCTCCGTTGCCGCCACCCTGTGCCAACAGTACTGGCCTGCACAGACCAAGACTCTTGTCTTCCTTCAGAGCAGCTTACTTTAAAGCAGTCCCTTTGTCAGAATCCTGAGGACTAGCTTCTTGCTTTGTTTTGAAGCAGAATGACTGTGGGTTAGTAGCAGAGGGTCCCAGGTTTGATCCCTGTCAAGATCTCTGCATAGGGCTGGAAGAAATTCTGCCGGGAGAGCAGGTGCCGCCAGTCAGTTGTGGGCAGCGCTGGCCAAGATGGGTGCAGGGCCTGGCTGTGCATGCAGCCCCTTCTGATCTTACTGACCAAATTGGAATGTGTGCCAGTGGTGCCCTGAGCTGACATTCCCCTCAGTCCAATGGGTCGGGCACTGAACGCTCCCAGTTCCAGGAAGGCACGCCTGACCATCTTCCTCTTCCTTGCAGAGAGAACTGGAGGCCAAGAGTGAAACCAAGCAGGAGAACTACTGGTTGATCCAGTACCAGCGGCTGCTGGACCAGAAGCCTCTCTCACTCCGCTTGCAGGTAACCGGCAAGCCCAGCCTGGGCAGAGGGGTGGGAACCCAGGAGCCAAGCTTCCTTCCTTGCCCGGGGCAGTCACCAGCTCCGGCCATTTCTTAGCAAAACTCTCTTTCCTGTTTCTAGATGTGGATTATCTAGCCAAGTCTCTGAGCAGGCGCAAAGGGGTTTGCTGGACCCAGCCTAGCAATCACTTCCCAAAACTCTGCTTATGAGTTTGTGCGCCATCTTGGGGAGGGCGCTGAGAAAGCCAGCTTCCCCACATGCTTTGTATCCAATCGAGCGTCCCACCTTTGTGGTCGTCTGGCCACGGAGCCAGACCCAGAGGGCCATGCTGCTTTCCGCTCGAGGATCCACCAGGCCCCTGAGCCCCCGGATCATCGCACTGTCCCTCTCTGGCTTTGCCCCCGAGCCAGTTGCCAGCATCTCCACCCCCAGCCGTATCCCAGGACCCTGAGCAACGTTCTGCTCTTCAATCCCATCAAAATACGGTCTTCTGAATCTGAATCAGGGAAGGTGGTGCAGCTCAAGTCTGACGGGAATGCGAGGGAGCCCTTGGGGAAGGAGAAGGCTGCCTTCCTGTCAGTTCATCTGGGGGCAGATCTGCTTGATTGAAGCATCTCTATTCCTTCTCTTTAGCTTTTGGGGGTGGCTTAGACTCTTAAGACTTGATGCACCCCCATTTTGTGCAGGAGGAAGGCTTGGAGAAGCAGCTGGTGAAGCTGCTGACAGACCTGTCGGCTGAGAAGTACGTGCCCATTTTTGCCCACCATCGGGTCTCGCTCGACATGCTCAGCACCATGCTTCCTGGCGACCTGGCAAAGGTATGGGGCACGCGAGCAAAGTTGGCATGCTTACCGCAACGGGGAAGGGAGTCGGCACTAAACGCTCCGATTTAGATAGGAAGAGAACCTCCTCTGTAAATCTGCGCTGGATTTACGCAGCATTTCTCCCCTGGTTGAAACACTGGTAGCTTTTTGCCAGCTTTGCTGCCTTTCTGAATGACACCTTTGTGTAAGCTGCCCTGCAAAGCCCTCTGGAAATGTGGAATGCACCGTTCAGTAACTTTTAAGGAAAGCCAAGAGGATTGCAGAGCTCTGCAAAATGGGCCCCTGTGTGGCTGTGTGGTCTTGCAGATGGGGATCGCAGAGACTGGCCTGCAACACTCCATCCTGTGGAAGGCCCAGGAGATCCACGCCGTGGCACAGACGATCCCAGGTAATGCACCTCCATGGCTGGTTTGCCCAGCGAGCCCACGATCTCCTCTTCCGACCGTGGCTCCGGCTACTGGCCGGTGTGGTGGGGTTGAAATCCAGCCTGGAGCCCTTTCCATGTTGCGGCCCACAGCTGCAGAAACAGCATCTCCTGTGGGGAAGGGAAGCTGGGGTTCCGAGTCCAGCGGGTAGAGAGTACCTGTAGAATCACAGAGCAGTACGGTCGGATGAGGCCAAGAAGGCCCTCGGGTCCCACCCCTGCTGTGGCAGGACACCGATTGAAACCATCCCCCTCAGAGGACTGTCCAATTTCACCTGAAATGTCTCTAGCGTGGGAGAGCCCATGACCAGGCCAGTCTGAATGGCGAAGGAGCCACCCGTGGTGCTGGGCCTGCTTTGGGTGAGCACCTGGCCCTGGGGTGGCTCTGTAAAAAGTGAAACCTAAAGCCGAAGTGGAGCCATCAGCCCTCCTTGCTTCTCTGGGGTCCAATTCCTGAATTTCCTTGTGGGTCACCTACTGGAGAAAGAGGTGCTGTTGCTACCTCTCAGCTTGCCCCCTCCCCCCGGCCACATTGTTGCAGAGCTGCTGAAGCCCACAGAGGAGGTCGAGCCATCTGCCCCAGGACTGAATGAAGAGCCCGTCAGAACCAAAGTTCCTTCTGCCCCTCCACCGGAAGAGCATCGCTGTGAGTGCGTGGTCTGCATGGAGCAAGAGGTAGGACCTCCAGGGTGACGGGGGGTGATGGGGGCAGTGCCAATCAGGGAACTCCAAGGCCCTCTGAAATCTCGGGGGTGCAGAACTTTCTGCATTCCCAGGGGCCACATCCAGCTTAGTTCCCACCAAAGGCACAGACCTGGGCACTTTCAGCATCTCAGTGTCAAAACAGGCCAAGTTGCTAGTCCCCAAGACAGGAGTGTGAAGCCTCAAGGGTCAAATAACAGACAAGCTCTTGAAGGCCGCATTCTAGGGTATGTGGAGACAAAAATGCAAAACACCAAGATAGTTTGAAAGCTTCTCATCTTAGGAGAATAATTCCAGCCAGTTAGAATTGTGAGGAATGGTGACTGCACAAAAGCCAGGAGACCGCCAAGTGCTAGCTCACCGGGAGGGAGGGAGTGGGAGCGTCTGGGGACCCGAGACAGTCCGACTTCGGCACCCAGGGAGCCTGGAGTTTCACACTCCTGTGTCAAATAGTACAGACAAGCAGAGAGACACCCTTCCCCAGCCATGACTGGCTTAAGATCCCTGCCACTGGAGGTTCGTGGAGGTGCTGGGGGCCATTTCTTCAGCTCTCCACTGACTGGGCTCCCCCGGCAGGATGTGAGCAAGTGGCAGGCAGCCAGGTCGCCCCCGGCGGGCAGCAGCCCACCTTCCTAGACCCAGTGGTGGAGGATGGCTTGGGGCTCTGGGGAGGGGGATCGCGTGGGTGAAGGCCTAACAACTCCCCCCCACCCCCCCCGGCCCAGGTGGTCTTCCTGAACTGCGGCCACGTCTGCTGCTGCCAGACATGCTCCGAAGCGCTCAGCACCTGCCCGCTTTGCCGCAAGGACATCGTGCAGCGCATCCGCCTCTTCCACAGCGGCTAAACCGGACGGGGCAGCCATGCCCTGAGCTCGCACGCCCCTCGCCCCTTCCGCGGGAGTGGGACAGCGGGCGCAGGCCTGGGATTTTGCACTACCTCCTTGCTCTTTGCGCACCCGCCTGTCGTCACGAGTCCCCGGAGCATGGCTGACGTTCCCCTCCCCGCTGCCGGATGCGCACCCCATGGCTGCCCTGGGGCCAAGAGGCCCGTCCGAGCCGGCAGGAAGACGTACGGGGCGACGCCTGGCCGAGCGGGAGCCTCCTCTCCCCGGCTCGCAAGTCCCGATACCTGGGGGAGCCACCATCACGCAGGGCTTCGCTTCTCATACTCGCACGGGGCTGGGTCAACGTTCTTTAAAGCCGGGACAGAGCAGCACCTTCCCGCCCGTGGTGCTGGGTCCACAGGCCTCAACGGATCGCTGTGGCAACCCACTCGGAGGAAGGGTGCCGAGGGAGGGCACGGGCCAGGAGCACCTGCCCCTCGCCCTGTGGGGAGGCAGGCCGGAGCCTGTTCCCGAAAGCGATCCCCGGAGCCGTAACAGCCCCAGGCATTCCCTCAGCGGCTGGGTATGCGCGCCCACCACCTTTCCACCAGACTGCAAGTCCCATCACCAACATCTCTGCCCTAACGATCTTCAGCGACTGGCCCCTGAACTGCTGGCCACGTGAAGCCTCCTCTCAGCCACGCCTCTGTAAATGTATTTTCTTCTATTTATTGAGCCTGTTGAGGCGTGGCAACAAGGGCCGCGAAAGGTGGGGCTTGTAGCCAACACAACTTGGGCAAGGCTGCTGGGAATAAGAGCCTCCGCCTCACCTACCCACCCAAATGGGTACGGAGAGGAAAGGCCTTAGAATTGGGGCAGGGGAGGGAGCAGGGCCCACCCTGCTCTCGCCCTCTCCAGCAGCCGAAGCCTGAATGGGCAGGCAGGCAGGCAGGGGGTGGATGGAGCAGCCAGGATCCCTGGTTGGGTGGAGGCCGTTCCGCCTGCTGCGCCGCTTCGCTAGCAGGCCTGGGTGTACTCCCTCGCGCCTCTTGGTTAATTAGTCAGTAATTGGCCCGTTACCCTGCCAAGGCAACACCGCCCCTGAGGAAGCCGGGGTTAGCGGGCGGGCGGACTTGGCCACTCTCCTCCCACGAGGAAGCCAAAGGCCCGCTTTGCCCTCGGCGCTCCCTCGTCCAGAAACCCGCAGCCGCCCTTCAACCCACCTGCTCATCGCTGGCTGCCTGCTTCAAGCGTTCCTGGCCACGCCACTCTGCAGGATTAGGCGGGGGTCTGCGGATGCCCAGGGGGCCACAGACACGTGCCTTCTCCCGGCCCCCAGGCAAAATGACCAGCGAGTCCTTCCTTGCCTCACCAGCAATTGGGGCTCCAGCTCTCCTGCCGTCAGCGCCCCAAGCCAAACACACGAGAGACGCCTGGGCTCAACCCACCCCTCCCGCACCCAACTGTGCAGGCCGGATGCCTTTGACCAGACGAGGCTTGCCGATTCCAAGCCCTGTGTGTCTTGTCTTCCCCAAGCTACACCTTTTCGCTCAGACCATCTTGGCAATCGTAGATTTCTTGGGCAGCAGTCTGAAAATTGCCAGAGATGGCCTGTGTTTTTGTTGCCTTCCCTGGAAAGGGCCGCCTAGTTGTGTCTTCTGGCATGTGCCACTTTGGCTGGACTAGCTGCCCAAGGCCACGTGCAGATGGGAGAACTGGGCCACTTGGGAAGAGCCTCTCGCCACCCCATGTCCTGCACGAATGCTCCCGTTTTCCAAAGCCCGTCTGTTTTGATTGTGCTTTGTCTCGTGTGTCCAGCAGAGAAATAAAGAAAAAGAACAGGGTATGAAACTCGGCTGTGTTGCCTCTGCTGCACTCCTTCGGGATGGGCTGAGAGCCGGGGCTTGCTTTGTTTGAAAAGTTAGCACTGTTGGTGGCAGTGTGCAGCGTGAAAGACGAGGCAGAGCAATCCCAGGCCAGGTCTGAGCATCGTTCTGTCTCCAGCCACGACTCAAACATTGCCCTTCAAGGGTGTTGCATCCTGCAGCCTGCTGAGCTGGCCCGGAAACACCCGGTTCCCCCGTCGTAGTAGCAGCACCCAGCCAGCTCCCTGCAGGTGCAGCCAGATGGGAAGGGAAGGACGTCCCCTGGAAACAGACACAGCCCAACAGATGGCCACCCTCTGCTATGGGGTGTGGCTGCCCCCAGTGGTGGTGCTGGCTGGGGAAGATGGGTGCTTCTTGTTGTTCAGTCGCAAGGCTGTGCCCGACTCTTCCTGACCCCCGGGCAACATTCCTCCAGGTGGTGGGTGCTTAGTCCGAGCGATAAAGAGGGTATCAGGGTGCCTGCCCCAGTCTACACAAAAGAGAAGGATCTGCCCCATTTGAACTTGGGACAGCCTGCATGGAAGCGCTTTCCCCAGCTGATGGGAGCAAGATTCGGGTGCTGGCCTTCAGTCGAAGTCAGCAACAGCCTGGGACACCCAGGGTCTCCGTCACTGGGCTGCTGGCCTCACAGGCTGCCAGTGCCGGAACGCGTCTTTGGAAGGAACCCTCGGAGAGCTTTGTGCCGCGGTGAAAGCGCTGGACGGGGACCGGGGAGATCCGGCTTCTAGGCCCCCATCGAAAGAAGAGCTATGGAAGCAGGGGCGAAGCAAGCGGGAGAGCAGTGCAGCAATAAGGAAGTGGCCCGAAAAGGGGGGCACATGCTCGGTTCATGGAATTACTGCTAAATGGAGTAAGAGGAGGGAGAAATGGAAAAATGGGGGCGACAGGAGGGCAGGGCAAAAACGCGCGGTATTCCTCGCCGCAGCATCTTGTGCTAGCCTCCCTCGGTCTGCACCGAAATGGTGTCCGCTGTACCACAATCCCAGAAGGACCGGCTGACACAAGTGTGATGAAGGGAAAGCACACGAGCGAGGAGGGGTGGCGAGAACGGTTTCACCATGTAGCAGCGGGGAGGGAAGGATGCTGGCAGGCAGCAGCCGCTTCTTCCGTCGGTCTGCGGAACCGCGTGGCCGAGGGACTGGCTCGGCCTGCAGCAGGCCTCATCCTGTTCTCATTCTTCTGCAGCCCCGAAGAAAACACCTTGCAAAACAGAATGTTTGGCCTCTGTTAACAAGTCATTGATTAAGTATGAAAGTTCAGCCTTGGGAGACTTCGGCCCACCTTTATCTGCCAGCCAGCCGCCTTCAGTTCACACGCTGGCGTTATATATTTGGACTGCAAGAGCGGGAGGCACGCCAACCAGCTTCAGCTGAGCCCTGGAGGCAGCTGTGGGTGCCCCTGCGGCACCTTGGCTCCCGCCAGTCACAAGTGCTGGAGGAAGCACCGATCACGGGTGGTTTCCCTCCAGGAAAGATGCGGTGCTCGGGGCTTGCGCAGGCCACTCGCTCGTGATCGCAGGCGTGCGTCTGTCTCTGCCTTGCGGTTGAAGCTGTTGCCGATACGAAAGCAGCAGGGAAGGCAGCGGCAAAGCCACTGTGGCCATCCCTGCCTGTCCACGCACGGTTCACTGGGAGCTGTTAAGTCGAAGCCCCTGGGGCGCTTGGCATGGCCTCCCTGGCGCTGGCCCCGCAAGAGGTGGTGGTGCTGCCGGCCCCCACCGACACGTGGGTGGACAGGCGCGAAGCTGAATGCGCCATCTGCTACGAAGCCTACGAAGGGGCCTCCGGCGAGCGGGCGCCCAAGCTGCTGTGGTGCCATCACTCCGTGTGCCTGGCCTGCCTGAGGAAGCTGCTTTGCCGGCACACAGCCTTCTCCTGCGTGGTGTGCCCCTTCTGCCGGACAGTGACCATTGTGCCTGCAGGAGGCCTGCGGGGCCTGAAGAACGACGAGGGTCTCCTGCGGGAGGTAACCATTAGCCAGGCAGGGGGAGGGACAGATGCTGATGTGGAGCCGGATGGTGACAAGGACTCAACCCGGGCCTCCAGGGGGGCCCTCCGGCCCGCGGCCCCATCTCTGGGGTTCAGCTACCGGCCCAGCTCGCCCATCTTCACCATCAGCAGCTTCATTCCAGCCTATTCAGCAGCGCTCCAGCCCAGCGTGGGGCTCTGGAGCAATCTCCAGCTTCAGGAGGTGAGGAACACTGTGCTGGTGGAGCTGCCCAGCCACGCCCCCCCCACCGGGAACTCGGAGACGCCGATGGCGGTGGAGAACGTGCGCATCTGCTTTGCCGTGGCCATCCTCCTCCTCATCGTGTCCGTCTTCTTTGCGCTGGCCCTCTTCAAGTAGGGGAAGGGCAGCGGTGGAATGCCCCGGGTATGCCAAGCCAAGATGGCCAAGGGCGGCAGGGCCAGGCCAAGAGCCCACATGCCCTGGGGGCCACAGGCAGGGCGCCCTGGACCTGCTCCTCTTCCTCCCCAGTGCAGGGGAACGGCGCTCTAGAGGAGACACTGCGCTGGCTCACGCCCTGCTCTCCGCCTGGCGGGCAAGCGAGCAGCAACCACACTGAGAAGGAATGAGGCACACGCGGCGCCGGCCGTGGCAGCAGGAGGCCGGACTGGCGGAGCAACCCACCAGGGGCGCCCGTCCCAGGACCGATGAAGGCCTGCAGCTGGCACGGCGATGGAGAGGTGGGCCTGGCCATCCTGCCGCCGCCTCCGATGCTGCCAGAGACCCCATTCTCCGGGCTGGCTCGCCACTGCTCCTGGTGCTTTGGGGGGCCTGGCCACGAGGCGACTGGAGGCTTGCCTGCCTGTTTTTCCAAGGGATGTGGCTCCCTTACAGAGAAGGTGAAGTATAATTCCCGTACGAACACACAGGAAATAATTCACAGGACGACGACTACGAATGCTCTTCGTTCGTTCTCTTAGCAGACTGTAATAGAGGCATCCGGCGCACCGTTTAGCTGGCTGGAAAGAAGATCAATCGGACCTAAAGGTCCGCAACGTGTGCCTGGAAGTGGCGTCCCAAGGAGCGCCTGCCCCTGCTGACACGCCGGTGACGACGCTCGGCTTGGCACCCGCCTCGGCTGGCGGAGTAGCCGGGCACTACTGCGTGTCACTCCACTTTGGGGCAGCAGAGCAGGTCTTGCCAGGCCTGCTCTGAGACGCAGAGGAACCGGCAGCTGCAAGGCGTGCGCCACTCTGGCCAGGCCGAGGCAGGCGCCCTCCCGAAGGAAAGCCATGCCGCTGCCCCACTCCAGGGGTTTGCAAGGGCTTGGCATCACCCAGGCCAGGCCCCATTGCCAAGAAGGGAACAACGCCTCCCTTGAAAGGTTCCCGATGTGGCCGGGACACCCCGTGAGTCGATGGAGGGGAGATCCTTGCCACGGTCCTGTGTGCATTCCTTTCTATGCCACTAACTCCAAGGATGTGGCTCCTTCATAATCCCAGTGGATTTATTTGCACCTCCATGGACTCCGATACCTAATATTTTCCCTTGTTGATACAAAATGAAAAACTTCAAAGAGCAAATAAAACTGGATGCCACCTAACTCTCTTTAGCATCTAAAGTAACATTTTGACAGCCATCGGCTTATTTTCCGTAAGCTGTCCTGCTTCGAACGGCTGGGGCGATAGAGAAGGCGTCGTGCACACAGGTGGGTCAGAGCCCAGGTGCACATCGGAGAGGCTCCCCGTTTTGGCAGGACGGAGAGCTCAGTCGGAGGAGGAGAGGCCCACAGGGGAGGGGCCCTATCCTGGTGGGGCTGTCCACTCAAGAGTCCAATAACGAAATGGTTGTTGAAATGGTCCCAGCACCAGCTGCGGCTCCAGGTCCTGAGCTTCCACAGGTTTCACCTATGGGAAAGAGTCGCTCAAGGGCAGATGAGGGGACCGGTCAACTCAGGCGTGAGAAAGGGGAAGAGCAGCAGCATCTTGAGGAAGGAGATGAAAAAATGGGTAGTGTTTCGGATGGGGAACTCCCACCCCTTGATGGGGCAGCCCCACAGTCCGAAGTCACCATCGCAGGGCGCCTACCCGGGGGCACGGCGGGAAGAGCAAAGTTGCGCCTGGTTTCACAGCGCCCTCCCCGCAGAGCGATGCCAAGAGCTTCATAAGGAGTGTTCTGGGTAAAGAATGTCAGAGAAGGTTCAACATTTCATTTTGTGTATGCTCAGAGCCTTGTAATAATAAAATATTTGGCAAAGAAACGCCGGTGAGTCTGATACTGCTGGGAGGAAAAAGCACGGCTCACGACACAAGGTGTTGCAGGCTTGCTTCTGGATCCCTCACCGGGGGGGGGGGGGCAGTGGGTCCCACCTCACCCTCGCTTCCCCAGCCACTGATCCTTTCTGGCTTTGGTGCAGGTTTGCCCCTCCATTCCAAAAATTTGAAATGCCTCTGCTGAGCCTTCCCTATTGGCAGGAAAAGCTTTCAGCTAGCTTGCCCAGATATTCTGGCAGCTCAGACCCCACCCCCTCTCGCCCATCTGCCCTGGCCACTCCTGCAAGGAATCCTCCAAGGGCGTCTCTGAGATGGAATTCAGCCCTTGGACAGAATTTGGTTCTGCACCCTTGAGCTGGAGCCTATCGTAGCGTCGACCCGAAGCACCCTTCTCCTTTCCCCACAAAATAAGGCAGCTGAGAAAGAATATTTGGAAAGGAAACCAAGACTGGGCTTGGGGTGGTGGTGGACAGACACACAACGTCAACTGCGCTGCCCACCCAATTCCTGGGTGTGTTTATGCCCCACTCAACTGACACCAGGCAGGCGGGGCCTTGAGGGAGGGGCAAGGACAACGCCGACCAGATGACTCAAGGCTGGGCTCTGCCCACCTGCGCCCTACAAGCCCGCTTTCCCCCAAAGTGGTCGACACCACAATTCCGCCCTGCTTTTCCCATGCGCAGCTCAGAGCGGCAGAGACCATTCCTGCATCCTTTCCCCCTTATCCTTGAGACAGCCCTGCCGGGTGGGCCAGCCCATTCCCCTCAGGGGCCCCCATTCATGGGTGGGGATTTCAACCCATGTCTCCGTGCTTAACTACAAGGTGCCTCTTGCATGCTTGGAAGCAAAGTCTAGGGTCAGTGCCAGGGGTCAGCAGGGTTGGGCGTTTGCGCAGGGCCCACACTGCAGCAGGGGCTATGGGCAAGAGTGATTCTACCCCCTCCCCACTGGAAGCTGCTTTCTCACCTGCCCCACTGTGGCCCATGCAAAGGCAGCGGTGGGAAGGCACAGCAGGAGAGGCCGTAGCCCCCTTGGCAGGCTGAGAGCCGAGGGTCAGCATGAAGCGGAGCACAGCCGGCGGGCACGGCGGTGAACAGCTGTGCCCCGCAGAGGCCCCCCAGAGGCACACAGCCCAGAGAGCAGCGGGCCACCTGCCAAACAGAAAGGCTTCCAGGGCAAGAGGAGGAGGTGCTGCTGGGCGGTTTCCTTGCAAGGACCGGCTCAAAAAGGAAAGAGGCACCTCAGTCTACAAATTAATCCGGGGCCTTCCAAGAGGTTGCCCAGCGAGCAGGGCAGGCTGCATCGCAAGGCCTGAAGGCAGGGGACTCTCGCAGCCTCACTCTCCAGGTGCAATCGGGAGAAAATAATACTGACCTACCTCACAGGAGTGGTGTAAGGACCATGGCAATAACTGGAGCCTGAAGTCTCTTGAAAGCACTGACATGAACAGATTGTATTAGATGATTGCATCTCTCTCTCTAAATTATTTTGGGGCAGCCATTAAGGCCAGAACCCTCTCAAAACACAAAAAGCAGACAAAATTAGAAAATTCATTAAAACATGGTAGGAAATTCGTAAAAGCAGGGCTTGCTCATTAAAACAAAGAAAAACAAAACCTACCAATAAAAAGGGACCAAGCTGACTTAAAAGGAAGGCCAAAGCAAGTGGTTTTTAGAGCACTCCTGAGGAGCAGCAAATAAAAGGCCCCAGCGAATTCCCAAGGGAAGCTGGTCCCAGAACCCCCACCGAGGAGGCCATGCCCTTGAACTCGCCACCCTTGAAGGGTGGGCTGGCTGACCGAGAGCAAGCACACGAACAACAAAACACTGACATCTTGCTTGAAACAAAGAGCCAGAGCAAACGCAAGAGGAATTTATTTTAATTGCACTTCTATTTTCCAAGACATGAAATCAGGTTTCAAACATGGTTTCAGGGTTTCAAAGAGACACACTGAAATGCCAAGTCAGTTCCACTTCCAAAGAGAGAGAACTCTGAGGATGATTCAGCCCCCAAACCAGGTCTAAAGCGGCAGCACACGGGGGAGGGCGGGGGAGGGATAAAGCTGCTGGGCATTTGAGCCTCAACAGGCATTTCCTTTCCTGTGCTCCATTTCTAAGGCTAGGAAATATGCTGGAGAGAGGGGAGAAAGCAGAAGCCACCTCCAGCCTGGAAGCAGGTGTTGCTCAGGAGAGTGGAGAATCTAATTTGCTTAGGACAACCCTCACCCGGCCACACACCCCTACCTCCCAGCACTAAAGGGGCAAAGGCATGTACCAAGCTTCTCCAACAAGCTGCCTTCACAGGCTCTGGACAGCAACTACCCTACTTCCCAGCCAGTGGAGTGAATGGGAGAGGCAGTTCGACATGCTTGGAGGGCCCCAGGTTGGAGAAGGCCAGGGTACCTCCTGAACCATGAGTGGATGCACTTTTACAGTATCTTGGGTAGCTCACAGCCACCAAGCTATGAATGGGATAGTCTCATCCTCAAGGATCATGGAAGGATTCTCTGCTGCGCCGAGTTCCATCCACATGGATCAGAGCTCTTTCGTGTGAGCTTGCTTCTGGAGACCGGGGTGACCGGGGGACCAGGAGAGGGACGTGGCCAGAGCACTCCCCTGCCTGACTTAGCACCTATCCTCTCTGCCAGGCAGCGCTGACCCCGGCTTTTAGTTCTCGGTTTACACAGCCCTCTTCCCACAGCAGTAACATAATTGTGCCCCAAGCCAAGGCACTGAGGAAGAGTTCCCCCAGAGCCAGTTGGGAGTCTGGGAGATTCAAGCAGGTGCTCCTGTTTTGCACTGGAGTGCGGATGGCGTCACTGGAAAAAGCCGGGCCGAGGCCAGCCTAATGCTTCATCAGATTTCCTGGTAATCCCAGCCGGACAGGATTAAAGGTCAGCGAAACAAACGCACGCCCAGGGTTGAGAGGGCAAAGCCATGGAGCTACGCCCTCTTGACTGGGGAAAAACAAGAGCCGGTTCCCTCCAGAAATCTCGTTCCCCGACAGCAAGCGGGTGGGCGGGTTTTTGCGCACAGCCGGGCACAGGGCAGCCAACAGAGCTGTCCGACAGAGAACGTTCCAGGAAGGGGCAGGACTGCTCCGTGTGACCCTAAACAGGATTCTGACTGCGCAAACAAGAGGCCAGTCTCGCTCCCCACTTCACATCCACAATGACAGGAGGTTTCTTACTGCAAAACGCAGCAGGCAGCGGTCCAGAGGGGGCGAGGGCAGAAAAACCATCACCAGTCACAAGAATCGAGAGCCTCAGAGCCTGCATTCCAGCTCTGCCATGGAAGGGGATCCTGCGGGGGATACGGATTCCAGCCTGGTTCTGTCTCTTTGTGAAGAAATCTGTCCTTGCTTGCATAAGTAGTTTCAGGTGAAGCACAAGGCCAGATACAGGAACAGTGGGAAAAGGAAAGGGCAGGCCCGCACTTCGAGGAAGACCAGGTAGGAAGAGAGCCCCACAGCCCCTGAAAGAGTGCAAGTACCACAGCATTGCGTGGTGACCCCGAGTAAGCCATCCAGGTGGCCACGGGCCAAGAACAGACCCCCCGCTCCAGTTCCTTTTAGCCGAGGTCAGCTGTCACTGGAAACGTCTCTTGTGCCGGTCATCCAGCCACTCAGCCCAACCAGTCCAGTTCGTCATCGTCGTCGTCGTCCGCAAAGAGTGGGGTTGGGGGAGGCCGGCCCTTCATGCTCTGGAAGGCCCGAGAGAGAAGAAATTAGGGTGAGACACAAGGAACTTGGGTGGCGTGATATGGGGGTTGGTGTGTTTTCAGCAAGCTGCCGCCCACTTTGGAAACACCATGGCAAGCTTGCACAAAAAGCAAGCAAGCCGGAAGGAGAGAGAAGCACCTCCCCTCAGATCTTCCACAATCACCCACTGCGGATTCCCACAATGACTGCCAGCACTTGGCATTCATGGCCCACAACGTGGAAAGAAAAGTGGAGATCTTCAGTGCCCAGTACCAGTTCTTTGAGAACACAGGGCGTTGAACCCTTCAGCCTGTTGCCTGAATTCCCCTCTGGAGATACTTCTCAGGGGCTGCGCTGTTGCAGTGAGTGGCAGCTGATGGGCAGGGGCTGAGCCAGAATATTGGAAACACCAGTGCAGTTTAGCTTAAAACCAAGTATCTAGGTCATAACTAAGAAACATTTAAATATTTTAGGACAGGGAAGGGAAAAATCATGTGAAGGGTGGGAATCATGTGGTCAGCAGCCGGGAAAACCGCACTGGGACCCCAGGCAGGCCAGATTTCACCCTGGAGCCTGCGGCCAACGCCCCATCCCTTGAAACAATTCAGGACTGCAGACTTCAGACAGGGCCCAAGGAGAAGCCCACAACCGCGACGTTGCCTCTGCCAATGCTAAAGCTGGCCAGCGTGCCGCCCCTGCGTGTGCCAGGAGGCAGCCGGGTCGGACCCTTCCAGGAATTTGCACAGACACCCAGAAGATCCCCAAGTCCTCACCACCTCCTCCTCCTCCTCCTCTTCCAGCCGTCCTGCGGACGCAGAAGGCTTACGAGCTGCAGGTTTCGACAAACCACACTTGTCCTCTGGGAGGCTAAGGAAAAAAGAAAGGAAAGGCAGGAGTGAGGCCAAGGCGACTCTAAATACCCGGGGCGTGGGGGCTGTTGAGAAACAAGGAACATGCCTCTCTGGGACCAAAGGAACACCCTTCGCTGCCCACCCCTTGCCTCCACCATCAAAACCAGCATCCAAGGACCAGCTCCTGTCCAGGTCTGGTGAAAGAAGTGGGGACATAAGCCATGTTAACAAGTGTTTTCAATCTGCAACCCCTGTAGAGTGCCAGGAGCAAGTAGCTGCAGCTGAACCTCTGCCCAGCAGACACAGTACGGCCTTCTATGTTCCTCCAGGGACCACAGGCGGCCATGCCCCTTCCCCAGGCCCAGGCCCAGGGCCAGGCCCAGGCCCTTTGCCCCACCCATGGATCCTTTGGAGGCTTCGTTTCCTGCAGCGTTTCTCTCAGTCTATAAAGCTCGAAAGGCCACCCTTAAGCCAGAGACCGGCAGGAAGGGCTTTCCGCTAAGACATGCTGGTGCTTATGGCCCCGCCTCCCTTGCTTTTAGCCCGCCCACCATGGGAACGCCAGCTCCCGAGGATGCCTCTGAAATGGAACGTGGCAGCGCAGCACACGAGCTCCCCAGCAGCACCTCCAGCCCCCTCCTTTCTGCGCTGACCTGGAATCCCCCCGGGCAGGACTGGGTGCCGGTTCGTGCTGTGCTCCAGCCACGCTCTGATGGCTGGCCGTGGCGGGTACGGGGGCAGAGCCTGCAGGATCCTGGCTCGGAGCCTCCGGGTTGCTCTCCTCTTCTTGCTCTGGGCCCACGGCCAGTGCCGGCCCATTAGCTGTTGGCTCTGAAGGCTGTGGAACAGGAGTGTCAGCATCTGCAGGGTTCGTTTCATCCTGAGCACGTGCCTCCATCTGCTCAGAGGCGGCCTCCTCCTCTTGGGCAGGGGTCTCCCTTGGTGGAAGGGGCTCTGCCGTTTCGACTGGAATGCCGCTGCGGTGCTCACTGCCCACTTCTGCGGCCTGCGCTTCAGGGACAGCCAATGCCGATGCAGCCGGGCCTCTGTCTGAAGGCAAAGGAGACTGAGAGCCCTCCAGTGCGCCCTCTGGGTGATCAGAAGGAAGGGAAGGCGTTGCAGCCGGTGGTCCCTGGGCAGACGCACTCTGGGGCTCTTCCTCGCTGCCACTGCCACTCTCTGCCCTCTCCTGGTGCCTCTCCAGCAGTCGCAGGGTTATGGTCTGGAAACAGGTGGAAGGGCAGAAAGTGGGAGGGGAATTGCATGTCCCAAAAGCCACACCTTGCAGCCCCCTCCCCTGCAACGCAACCCCGCAACAGCATCACACACGGAGAGAAGGGTGGACCACTCCTGCAGAAATCCCAGAAGGTAAGCGGGTGGCATTCCAGCGGGGTCACGGGAACACACACGCGCGTGTGCCGCCAACCCCCACAGCCCTCCCTCTGCCCTTCCCTTCTGAGCAACCGCAGAAGCGGCTGTGCCACGCCAGGTCCAGGCAGGCCCAGGCAGGTGGGATGACGCGCCGGTCCCAGGGCTTTACCTTGATGGTGTTCATCACGACGCTGAGGACCACCCGGCCAGTGTAGGTCTCCTCCAGCTCAAACTGGCCCCGCAGAGTCTGGAAAACCGCATTCATGATCCTCTTCACCTGGCGGGGGACAGATGCCGAGGTGCCTGAAGCAATGCCAGAGAGGTCCGCCTGGCGCCGTCGTTATTTGTTTTTCGGCGCCAGGCGAAGACCTTTTTATTTAAGCAGCATTTTAATTGTTAATATTATTTGCTTATTTTATCTGGCCAGGGCGACTTATTTTATATTGTTATTTCTTGTATTTTAATTTTATGTTGTGAGCCGCCCCGAGGCTTCAGCGAATGGGGCGGCATAGAAATGTTTTAATTAATAAATAAACAAACAAACAAATCAATAAATGCCGGCGTAGCAGTGGGCCTCCACGGTCTCTCTGGCCTGGCCTCTCCAACTAAGCAAGCCCAAGCTTCCTTGGATAGCAGCTTGTTTTGTCCCCACACCACACAGCCAATGCTCCTGATGGCTGGGGAACATGGGAGTTGCAGTCCAACACATCTGGAGAGCACCATGTAGGAGGGCAGATGTGCACCTGTGTGTTTTTAAGTGGTGGAGGGCATGGATTGGTGGGGGGGGAGTTCTCACCATCTTTGGAAGGGGAACAGGGTGTAGAGATTGCCTTAAGACCGACATTTGCACAGGGGGCCAGAGTAATACAGGAAATGTTCTCCAGCCTATTTGGAGGGTGCTTAAGTCGATCTGGATGAGATGGGCTCTTTTCTCTGACGGGAGATTTGGAAAAACATGGAGGGGGCCCAGCAAGAGAGCCGGAGGGATAGAAAGGAGGGGAGAGGCAGGGAAGCTGCATGCTGGCAGTAAATGCCCCCGACCCCAGTGTGCAGTGCAGAGGGGCCCCTGCGCAGGATGCGTGTTGGGTGCCGCAGTGCCGCAGCGCAAGCAACACAGGGCGGGGCAGGTGCCCCTGCGGAGATGCTGTTCAGCCGGGGAAGCTACCTGGCTCCATTTGGAGCACCACTAAACAGGCAAGGCTTGAGGGACGTACCTCTTCTGTTGAGCCCGCAGGCGACGGCTGCTCAGCGCGCTCCTCAAGGTCCTGGATCCGGTCTTTGTACTTGGCCTTGAGAGCAGCCAGCTGGGACTGCAGGGCCACATACTGTGTTTTGGGGGTGGGAAGCAGAGAGGAGGAAAGGGAGGGAGGGAGGGAGTCAACTGGAGACAGCCCCCAGGTGGTACAGGGCAGGCCTCAAAACAGAGGGATCTACTCTGTTCATTCTTTTATCAAAATACTGAATTCTATCCACCTGATGCAAGGCTGTGGCTGAAGATTAGCAATTATTGTGAGCCGCCCTGAGGCTTCAGCGAATGGGGTAGCATAGAAGCCTCCTAAATAAATAAATAAAATAAACAAACAAACTTAAGAGCTGTGCTGGCAGAAGAAGACCAGCTGTTCCCCCAGTCCAGCTTCCTGCTCGCCCAGCGGACAAGGAGATGCCACGAAGGGAAACCCCCTGCCCTGTTCCCCAGAATGCACTCTGCTGGCCCCGGCCTGGCAGTGGCTCGCAGCCATCCGTACTGACAGCCCCCGTGAACCTCCTCCGCCACGCAAAGGCTTCTGCCCCTCTGAAAACCACCGGCTGTCCTAAGACAGACCGCCTCTTACCTGGCCAGAATCTTGCCCATTCAGTTCCATGGGATGCCCCTGCTTGTCTCTGGTATTCCGGCAGAGGCAGGGGGAAAACGCCCCTCACTACTTTTTCCACACCGTGCCTAATGCTGAGCCCCTCACTCATGTCTCCCTTCTCCTCCCCTTTATGAAATGGAAACTCACAGGAAGAAAGCCAGGCCCCAGGTGCGTTTCCCAGCGGGGAGCTGATCCAGCCCCTTGATCCCCCTGAGGTGCAATCCTGCTTAAGCAGGACCAAGTCCTGCAGCTCCTGGCATCAGCCAGCCAGCGCACTCTGGGCCAGGAAAGGCGTAGAGGACAAGGGCCGTCCTCTGGGCGGGTCTTGGCTGCCTTCAGGATCGGGGGCCGTGTACAGAAGTTGCTGGGGAACATGGGCAGCAGAACACCGCGGGGGCACATCCTCCTCCTGTGTTCCCTGCAAGGGCCTGGTTGCCCACTGGGAGAACGGAAGGATGGGCAAGGTGGATCTGCGGACGCCCTGATGGGCCCCAGAGAGCCATGGGCCCTTCAGCAACTCAGGAGGCTGCAGGAAGAGGCTACACTCACTTTGTGCTTTACTGGCTGCAACTGCTCCAGCTGTTCCTGCAGCACCGAGAGCCGATCGTCCCCCGAGTTCTTTGTGGCTCTGAGCAGGGAAATCTGGAAGTACAGCAGGGTGTAAAGGCACACAGCCGAGCTGCCTCAGCTACTCGCTTCCCACACACGTTGCGCCATCCAGTTGTGCTCAGGGATGGAGCAAAGCTCACAGACCACACACACACACAGAGCATGGGGGGGGGGCAATGAAGACAGCAAAGGGGTGGCCACTGACCTTTTCTTCCAACTGGGAGATCACCTGCTGCTGGGCGTCTCTTTGCTCACAGACGTCCTGGTACTGACGGGCGTGTTGCTCTTTGGCATCGCTCAGCAGCCGCGCTAACTTGGCTTCCCACTGGGCCTCCAGCTCGGTCTGCATCTGGGACAGATTCCATCCCCACCACATGAAAAGGACGCGCCAGCCAGCCTGGCACACGACACACCGGTTTCTCACTCTGCCCCTCCCACCCCCTCTATCCTTAAGGCCACTAGAAGAGCCATTTCCAAACCTGCCCCTTCAGGTACCTTGGACAACACCTCCCACCATTTCAGACAGCTGGTCATGCTGGCTGGGGCTGATGGGAGTCACAGTGCAGAGAACTCACAGGATGACAGCTCGCCTGTCTGTCTGTGCCTCAGAATCTCTCAGGCAGGAGAAAGCCCAAACCTTCCTTTGGAATTTTTCCAAGCAAAAGGGGGACCGGAAGGCGAGAGATGCCCCCACCAGGGTGGGTTGCATGGCTCACATCCATGCTCACCTGCTCTGAAGCTGCCTCTGAAGCTGCCTGGTCAGTCGACATCCGAGCCTTTCTGAGAAGCTGCCGGAGCTTCTCCAGCTCTTCTTGGTACAATTTGCGGATCTCGTCCTTCTCTTCTTCGGCCTGCTCTCTCTCCATGAGGGATTTCTTCTTTCGCTCAGAGAGGTTCTGAAGCAGGAGTGGGAAACGGGCAAGAAGAAATGCGAAGTTCACATGCCAGAATGCCCCAGGCCTATGAACTGGTATCACTTCGGACGACAAGCGGGCAGGCACCGTTTGGGAATGCCTTGCCCCATTAAGAAAATAACCTCTGAAGGCACTTTTTGGCACCGTGTGTCTCTGTGGTGCTGCTATATTATTTGAGGTTTTTTTTATTTAACAATGCAACCTTATACCTGTCTATTCAAGGTAAGGCCTCTTAAATTCCAGCTAAGCAGGAGCAGGACTGCCGCCTTAAAGTTTTAAACACGGCACAGGGAAAAGGCTGGCTGAAAGCCTCTCCCTCTGACCCAGGATGCTTCCAGTTGCATGGAGTATTGTCTGTCTTTAGGGCATTAAAAACTGCTGCTTCTCACCTGCAAGAGTGGCCTGTCTGCTCTCTCTTTATGCCCTGTGCATCAATGGGGCCTCAGCACAGAATGTACGGTCAAAGGCGGAACGCTATATACAAGACTTGATCTGGGGATCTCTCCCCTTACTCAAGCCTTTTTAAAAAATGCAATTACCAAGGAAGAGAGTTTCCATCACCCTAAATTAGCTTTGTGGCCTGGTACACAAACCACTGCTCCGGTATTTTTTAAGCCCCGAGTTGTGCTGAATATGACAACTGGTCAGTGCCTGCTGCCCAAAGGATGAACAATCAGAGACGCTTCTTTCCTTGCTGAGTCAGACACTAGCTGTTACATCTGGACATAACCCCACACATGTTCAGATGGAGGAAATTCCTGCAACTCCCAGAATTCCCCAGCCAGCTATGATGGGAGATGGGCTTTTTGCAGTCTGCACATGAATAGGATTAAGCCGTTTTGCTCTCTGCCAAGGCAGGTTCTGAAACAGGGACTGTATAGTGGGCAGGCTGCTAAAGAGCCAGTATGCATCTTCGTTCATTTTCCAGCTCTGAGCTTACCCCCATCCTCTTTCCCTCGCTAGTTTACTTGAAAGGTTAAAAGACAGAACATGCTTCAAAGGCTGATTCAAGGCCAGGTTTTTTGCCTCCTGGAGCACCTACCTTCTCCAGACTCTCCTTCTCCACTCGGAGGTCAGCCAGCTCCTCCTCCAGAGCAGCCACCTTGCCTTCAAGCTGCTTGCGGTTCTGCTTCTCGGCTTGGAATTTGCTCCTGGCATCCTCGGAAGACTCCCGAAGCTCTGTGGAGGGCAAAGCATGGAAGCTCCATCGAGCAGAACCTGCGCCATGCACCTGAGTCCTCCTGCCCCCCGCCCAAGTCCTGCTATAATTAAGCCTAAGCAGGGCTCATGGAAATGATTCCCACCTCCCCACCATTCACCGTTGTTGGTATCAGGCACTGCTAGGCCAAGAGCACATGGGGCTCCAGACCGGTATAATGTTTTGACCCTGGAGCCTCAGGGGTCCACTGGCACCAATGCATGCTTTCTTTCTTAGCAATTTTCTGAGAGAATTCCCCTCCTTGCTTCCATCCACTGCAACACCATGGATTTAAGCTGAGCAAAAGACCTTCAGTGCGTGCCAGTAAAAGATCCCTTAGCTCCAAATGCTGTGGATGGGGGGTGGGGGGTTGGAGGGGTGTCACAGCTAAGGAAGGAAGGTGTCCTTTCCTTTCCCCAAGATCTCCTGCTGCGCACACACGCGCACGCACGCACACAGCCCACGTGGCAACTGGGCCTAAGAAAAAGGCCTTGCTCTGGCACCAACAGAAAGACTGGGCCACAAACTTTTTGCCTGCCTGGTGAGGCCACCATTCCACAGCGCTTCTGCAACGCTGGCCTGAGGAGGTCCAAGCACTTTGATCTCGCTACTCTGGCAACACCCCTGCGAGGCAGGAGGGAGGGTCCAGGCGGCCTCTTCAGCCAGCGAGCCAGCCTTCTCACACCGTCACCAGCCGCTCCCACCATTCTCTTCCTCATCACAACCACCACTCGCTCACGCAGCAGGTTGCGGCATCTCCTGCCCTGCCAGGCGCCACCACCTTGACTGAGGGCAGGTGAGGGGGGCAGGGGAGCAAGCGGGTTGCAGTGAGCTGGAGGAAGAGGAGCAGGTCCGGGGAAGTCTTCTCAGGGCCTGCGTGCTGCCATGCGGACCCACAGCGAGGGCCTGACCTTGCTACCCCTCGGAACCACTGCTGGGCAGGGTCATGGGCCTGGGGGTAGGATGACACTCGCTGCACAGGCCCCACCCCAGACGTCCTCCCTCCTTTTGCCTTTTGCCCTTCTCTGCTCAAAGGAAAGGGCACCCCCTGTGGCCTCTAATGCTGGCAGATGTGCCCAGACTCCAACTCCCTTCACCTGCAGCCAATGTAGCCAAGGCAGGAGTTTATTTTATGTATTTATTTAAAATGTCTTATATACAATCTGATTATTATGAAATCTCAAGACTGTTTACATAAAAAGCCAGAAAAATTATAATATATATTAAAACCCTATTATGGCCATAAAGTCATTAAAAAACCCATCAGTGCCCCCACGTGCTTCAACAAATTAGAATACATTCTTGATTAAAAAACTGAGAGAGTAAAAAGATTTTGGCCTGCCGCCAAGGCAAATCAAGTATCGGCACCAGGCACACTTCTCTAGGGAGTGAGGTTCATAATCGGGGCGCCACCGCAGGGAAGGTCCTCCTCCTCCTCGCGCCGGCCCTCCTCACTGCGCCCAAGGAGGCCTCTTGGAGGAGGACCTCCGTAGTTCAGGCAGGCTCGTGCGGAAGTTCAAGACGGTTTGAGGGTGCCCGGTTGGAGGGAGGGGTGCCTGACGGGCTCAGGGAAGTACTCTGCACGGGCTCTGCGCTCCACCCCCAGTTTGGCCCCTCCCTTGAGGCTCCCGTACCTGCCAGCTGGGCCTGCAGCTGGCTGAGCTGGGGCCCGTGCCTCTCCTCCTCCTGCAGGGCCGCATTCAGCTGTGCACGGAGGCCCATCTCCTTCTTCTGGTGATCCGTCAGCTCCAGCTGAAGCCGGGAGATCTGTGCCATGGCAGCCGACAACTCCTCGGCAACCTTGACCTGCAGCCAGCAGAGGCGGGGGGGTAGTTCTGAAATGCAAACACTAACCAGGATTCCTTCCACACGCGCCCCCCTGCCCCCAAATGCAGCCAGCGGGGCTGACCGCTCTCAACTAACCCACTTGGCCAGTTTTCCTCTTTGCCCAAGGCAGGAATTCCATACAGCAAGTGGGTTGTGCTTGCCTTTCCAGGACGGAAGCGCCCCAAGATACTGCACCATGAAAAGGAACGAAGCAAATACATTCCCCACCCCTGACCCCAGCGCCTGGGAATGCTGCAGCTCAGTGGAAAGACAGGATTTTGCGGCGGATGGCTAACAGTGGCAGCAGCCACGTTAACGGAAATGCCCTTGTTAAAGCTTCATGTGTCCTGGAGGTGAAGGGAAGGCGCCTCATGAGACCCTCCCCACGTGGCCCAAGGAGGGCACCTCCAGAGGGCAGCACTCACATGCACCCCGCTGGGAAGCCCTTGGTCTTCTCTGGATGCTGCTGTCTCACAAATGGCTGCACGAGTGCCCTTCCGACGTTTTACGCTACATCTCCCACCTGCCCCAGCCATTCTGGCAAGTAGTCGGAATGAGCAGCACAGTGGTAAAGAGCATCGGGAGGTTGTCAGGCTGCCTGCCCTGGGTTATCAGAACACTAAAATTCACCCCCAGCCCAAGCACACTGCTCAGAAAGGACGGGGGATATACAGAGGCAAGGGAGGAGAGACAGCCAGGTCATGTGGACATCCACGGGCAGCACCTCACCTGGTCCCACCCCTGATCCGGTGGCAGCTTGCGCTAGGGAGAGAAAGCAGTGACAGGAGAGGAGAGTTAACACCACCAGGAGCAATAGCAAAGCAAAGGACCGCAGGGGTGGGAAGGAAGAGAGTTGCGAAGAGAGGAAAGACGGCGTTCTGCATTTAGGAACCCACGAGCTACCTTGTGGTCCAGGGGTTCCACACCAAGGTGAGAGCCTAGGATGCATTTAGGTATCTTTGCTCTAACGATGAACTGCAGAGCAGATGCAGACGGAATGAGATCTAGCCAGCTTTCTCCAACCCGGCACCCTCCAGCTGCCTTTGGGCTACAATCCCCACAATCCCCGAAGCAGCAGCTAACGGGGGTGCTGTGGTTGCTGTAGCCAAGCACACCTGGAAGCCGCAGGTCGGAGAAAACTAGACTTGAGCTAACTTCCACAGCCCTGCTGCACTCGTCGGGCCAGCGGGGTGTTCAAAGGATGCTCTGTTAGAAAGCCCAACAGGGACCCCTGCATGGTCTGCTGTTTCCAGGACCATCTGCTCTGTAGGTCTTCAATTCTTTCTTCCAGGAGAAGGTGAGAGAAGTGGCTCCCAATTCAAATGAGAGAGGGAGGCATGGCCCTCACCCTTGCTTCCAACTGGTGCTTCCAAAGCACAGCAGGGGTTCCGGCCCACAGGAGCGAAGGCGAGTGCAGAGCCAGCGCACTGTACGAGGCACTTCTGGACTGAAAAATGGCGGCGCAGGAAAGGGGGGGCCTCCCAGCGTCCTTGTTCAGCCCTGCAGGGGTTTACCTTCTCCTGCTCGGCATGCAAAACACGTGCCTGAGTGTGCTCCGTCCTCGCCTGCAGAGAGTTGTTCCTCTGCTCCAGCAACAGGTTGCTCTGCTCCACGTACCTGGAGAGGAGCAGAAGGGAAGGAGTGGGCTTCGTGCAATGGTGGGGCAACTAAAATCAGGTGGGGGCAGGCAGAGGACCCCTACCACCCAGCCCCCTCCAGGTCCAGGGACCTCAAGGAGCAGCAGACGAATACTCTTTATTACTACATTACATTTATATCCCATCTTTTCCCCTTGTAAGAGGGCCTCTTCCTCTTCCTCACCATGTTATCCTCACAACAACCCTGTGAGGAAGGTTAGGCCTGAGTCTGTGACTGGTCAAAGTCACCCAGTGGGCTTCATGGCCAAGAGGTGCTTCCATCTATCAATCTATCGATCCATCGATCCATCCATCTATTAAATTTGTATGCCATCCAATTATTAACATCTCTGGACGGCTAACAGCATAAATAAATTGACAACCCACTCTGGCTGCAATTAATAAAATACAATAATACAATTCAATATTAAAGCTTATTAAAATATTAAATAAAAAGGTCTTAACCTGGTGCCAAAAAACATATAATGATGGCGCCAGGCAGACCTCTTTGGGGAGCACATGCCACAGTTGGGGTGCCACCGCAGAGAAGGCCCTCCTCCGGGTACTCACCCTCCTAATATTTTTCACAGAGGGTTCCCGGAGGAGGGCTTCTGCTACCAATCTCAAGGGGTGGGAAGGCAAATAGGGAAAAAGGCGTTCCTTTAGGTATCCTGGTCCCAAGTCGTTTAGGGCTTTATAGGCAATAACCAGCACCTTGAATTGAGTCTGGACTTCGATGGGAAGTCAATGGAGCTGATAGAGGACTGGGGTTATATGAGAATAACTGTCTATTGTTAACTGTCTAAATCACTATCCATCTCTCGCAAAGGTGGCTAATGGAGCGTGCTAGACTGAAGCACTGTGCTGCAACACGCTTGACTGATACCTTCATGAGTCACCACTGAGATCAGACGGGTCTCCCTATGGCAAAACCCTCCCCTCTGTCCTTCCCTTACAACCAGAAGGTGCCACCTTCAACAGGAAGCTGGTGCGACTGGACGACACACACATCTGGCTCTCAGACAACAGCGTGGAGACTATTAACCGGACACCCGAGAGCGCAGCGTGAGGCCAGTGCCACGCGCAGGCGGCATCCAGGTATTGCGACTGGCTAAGCATCCTCGGGGAGGGAGAGGCCACGAGCAACAGGAGCATGTGCCTCAGGAGGACGGAAGGTACAGGGGGAGGCTCCTCACCTCTGGCTGCGGTCGATCAGCTCGGCGATCTTCTCGTTCTGCTCCTCGATGCGGCCACTTTTCTCAAAGACCTCTTGCTTCAGCCTCTCATTCTCCTGCAGCAGCAGCAAAAGCCAAAGAAGGGTTACAAAGCCTTTGTCACCTGGGCAGTGTCCAGGTAGACTCAGGTCCCTGGGTGGCTCTGGACTTCAACTCCCAGCATCCCCCAGTCAAGGATCAAGGTGATGAAAGTAATAGGTTAACAGCCTACAGGGATGTACAGTTGAAATCTACTGTAAATGCCGGAACTATTGCCCTTTGCAGCCAAGAACTGCCTCACGGCCGACTCCATTATGTTTCTGTATGGTTCAATAGCTCTCTAGAGAGCTTACAGAAATTAAAATAGCAGAATACAACTTTAGAAAATATCAATATAAAGCCCTTTTCCAGTTTAAAAATGGAATACAACCCAAGTAAAAGTCAGCAGCACTGTAAACATCTAAACCAGGGGTCCTCAAACTTTTTAAACAGGGGGCCAGTTCACTGTCCCTCAGACCGTTGGGGGGGGGGGCGGAATCTAGTTGGAAAAAATATGAATGAATTCCCATGCATACTGAACATTAAAATTATTAAAATTTAAATAGATTAAAATTTAAATTAATTCAAATCAATTAACATTAATTAACATTTTTAAAAATTAAAAAAATTAAAAATGTTTTTTCTGCTTACTTGGGCTGGAGCAGAAGCCCAAGATGAGGTGGGGAAGAGCATGTCCATATTCAAGGGACAGAGCTACAGTGTCCGCGATCATGCTCGGCGGGGAGAAGACAGGCGCAATCATGCTCGGCGGAGGGGGGAAGATGGACGTGATCGGGGTCATGCAGGGAAAATGAGTGTGATCAGGGTTGCGCTCCTGCAGGGGAGGTGGGCGCGATTGCGGCCATCTCCCACCCCTGAGCACAACTGCAACTGCACACGCCTTCCCTGCACGAGTGCAACTGCGGCCATCTTCCCACTGAGCATACCTGTGCCAGATCAGAGCTTTCGGATTCGCTCGGAGATTGTTCTCCCCAAGCGAGTCCAAAAGCTCTGAGGTGGGATGGATAAATCAGCGTGGTGGGTCAGATTTGGCCCACGGGCCGTAGTCTGAGGACCCATGATCTAAACCTACAACACATTAAAAAAAGCCAACATGGAAGGGCTAATGATCCTGACATATATTCCCCTTGATGCCTGCCAGGCCTCTCCCGCCCCTCTTAATTTTTATTTCAGGTTGTGTTTACTTTTCAAAAACCTGGAAGGCTGGCCTGCTGCAGAGCAAAGCACTGCCCTCCAGCCCCATATGTATTTGGCTTGCAAGTAGAGGATTCAGCAGATTCTTGGGCAACGGACTTTTCTTTTAGTCCCAACGGCTGGCCTTCCGGAAAATGAGTGTTCTCTGGCAAGCCACGCCCACCCTAGCCCTTTGCCGACGCTCCAGTGACACCCGCCCAACAGTCTGAATGTGCCGCTTGGCCCAGAAAGGCTGGACAGTGTTGCAGGATCTGTTAAGAAAGAAAGACGGACAGATGTGTCATTCCTTGGAGTAAATGCGTCTCAACTCTATACTAGGTCTTCCCTGGATGTTACACCTTGTAAATGTCATCTACAGAGACAGTCACTGTCTCCAGAAATAAATCCCGGGACCGTATTAGCCTCTGCTCTCATGCAGGAACCCTCCTTACCTGGATGAGACGCTGGATATTGCTCATGATCATGGCCGTTTCCATGGTCACAGAGGAGATGCCTGGCAGCAAACTGTGGCCAGAATTTTGCTTCTGCAGTTCTTCCACCTGCAAGAGGTGAGAGCAGAGAAGAGGGATGGAGCTGAGCAACAGCACGAAGGAGCAGAGCCTGGGCTGGATCAGGGTGGAAGGATTTGCCCACACTGGCCAAGGCTCGCAATGACAAACTCGGCTGAGAGCAGGGGAAGGGGGAACAGCCACTGTGCCACGGGGTAAGTGCTTGTTCACCTTCCCACACCTGAAGTGCACCACAGGTAGGCACCTCTACATGTGGCGACAGAGCACAGATGGCCGCTGCCTTCATGCCCAGCCTGAGCACTTACAGAGGCCTGCGGCCAACGGTGGCAGGGAGTGAGAGGACCGCCTCAGGCCGGACGGAGCAAGAGGGCCTTTTTCCACACAGAAACGGCATCCCCAGAGGGTAGCATTACCTTGGCCACCAGCTGGTCCACCTTGTCGGCCACCTTGCCCACAGCCAAGCGGATTTCTGTGTTCTGCTGGCGTGCCTCAGTCATCAGGAAAGAACCGATGTCTCCGGCTGCTGCCATGGGAAGAAGAGATTGTGCAAGGTTCAAAAGCAAAACAATGCCTCCAGAAGCAATTGGACAGGACAAGGGAGGAAAAACAGGGCTGCCCCAGTCAGAAAAACAGATGCAGGATTACTATGGATTACCCAAAAGGCTATATGCCCCCTCCCCCTGCACCCACCCCACCCTGCAGCCACTGTGCCAGTCTACAGGTTGGATCGCTGTTTCTAAGGAGCTGAAGGTGAAGTACCCTGGTATTCTGGTCTCTCCCTGTTTTGCTTTCCACTTTCCTCACTGCTTTAGGGCTTATTCTCAAAAGGAATTCGGCTGTCGGGGTGACAGAGGCTCAGCACCCTTGTTTTGGAGAGCAGGAGCAGCAAGGACTCAAAAGGTTACATTTCCAAGCTGCTCCTCCGCAGGGATAACAAGCTGGTGTTACAGAGGACATTCTTGTATTCTGAACCGACCATTCCTGGCTTGTTTAGCAGTCACACTGGCAGGGACAAGCCAGGCAGCAGCAAACAGGCTGCAGATGACATCAGTGGTTAACACTTGCCCGTGTGAACACCTGGCAGCTGGCGTGGATGGCAGCTGTTTCGGATCCCTGGTGGCACATGGTGTGGACATACCTTGAAAGGGAGCCGGGTACATTGCCCCAACGGGCTGGAGCTGTGAAGTTGCAGCAGTGGCTTGTGGGTAGGCATATGTCATCCCTGCGTAGGACTGGAGGCACAGGGGGAAAGGGGAATGGGACGAGAAGGGAAAGTCAGGCGACCACATGGCACTTGGCAGGAAGAGGCAAAATCCCAACGTCCTCTTTCTGGAATGGTTCTGGCAGAGCGCTGCACCGCCCCCACCCCCCGAGACAAACCAACATGGGGCTCATGCAGCTCCTCCAGGATTACTACTGTTACAAGCCAGTATGACACAGCGGATGCTGCCCCCCCAGGCCAACGCTCACTGGTATGGTGCCGATGACGCTAGGCCCCCCGGGGATCACCGCAGCGAGAAACCGAGGACAATCAAATGTACGACAGCAAGGGTGGGAGCTGCTTGACACGGGGCGCATCCCATCTTAGCGTCACCTTCTCCCTACTCCTGTCCATCGAGAAAGCCCCCTCAGCACACCTGGCCCCTCCCTACCTGAAAGCTCTGCGCCGTCCCAGGGAGTGCTGGATGTGTCTGGAGGGCCGCAGGGATTATGGCAGCGGAGGGCAGCTGGAGCCCAGAGGTGGCTGGCTGAGGCACTAAGGAAAAGCACGTGGGCTTGAGAGGACGGTTTCCACACAGGGAGGGGACACCCTGCACCCACCACCCCCTGCAGCCCTCGGCTGGAGAGAGACCATCATGCAGGGCCACATTTCTGCCTACCCTGAGGTCAGGCAGCAGCTCTAGACTGCTTGCTAGACCAAGCAAACTGAACTCTAGACTGAGTTTTGAAACTGACTTTCTGCTATCATGGAGGAGACTCCGAGGGGATCTGTTGGCGACATGCAGGCATGTGAGGGGGTGTCACACGGAGGTGAGCAGAGGCCTGTTTTCCCCTGCAGAGGAAGGCAGGATCTGTTCCAATGGAGCAAAGCTCAGGGAACCAAGGTTCAATCTGGATGCCTGGAAGTACTTCCTGACAATTAGGACCCCGAGGGTATGGAATGGGCTTCCATGGGAGGTGGTGAAGGCCCCACCGGTGAGGGGTTCAAGGATAGGCTGGACAGGCACATGGTGGGCATGTCATGAGAGAAACTGGCTGGAGCCGGGGGTCAGACCAGATGGCCCGGGAGGCCCCTTCTGGCTTGCTCTGTTTCTATGCTCCTACGCCTACCTTCAATGCTATGGCGGCACTCAGCAGCTGAATGGATGGCACCCTGTGGCACTGAGGCAGGGCTTATGCACAGATATTTGCTCACGCCGGGTGTAATTTCCCCCCTTTTTCTTGGAAAGTTGTTTTTTATAGATACACATACATACAGAGACATGCATTCCTTTAGTATCTATCACCTGAAATGGATATATTGACATTTATCTAATTACATTTTGCCCTTTTATGTTTTGGTTGGGCTTGATCTGTTGCAATTTCTAAGGAAAAAAGGGTTGTGGCAGTGGCCAGCACAGCCGCCGGCTGGGGTGTTACGCTGGCTGAATGTGCCTCAGGTGACACAAGCACCTCGGTCTCATGGCCGCACACACCAGTTCCCGGGCTGTGGTGGTCAGGCTGTGCCGACCCTCAGCAGCAGACCACTGTGAGGTGCTTTTGCATGGGGCTGCCTTGAGCCTGGCTCCGGAAAGCAGCTGGCGCAGATGAGGTTGCTGCGGTGCTCACTGGGACCCCCAGCTGGGCTTGCCCCGTGTCTAAGCTACCGATCTGAAGGAGCATCGCTGATGTTCAAGTACTGAACGACTCTGGGCCAGGGCACCCGGCTGACTGCTGGATCACCCGCGCAGGCCAGCCAGGTGGCCCAGCACCCCTTTACCTTGTGCTGCCATCTGAGGGAGGGTCGCTGGTGGGGATGGCTTCAGGGGTGAGGAGGCCGCAGGCTGCGCTGTCCCTCGCACAGTGTTGGGGTCCTAAAGCAGCAAAACAAGACCCATTCTGAAAGAGGACTGCTCCACGTTAGGCCCGGCCTGGGAGGTGTGCTTAGTTGGGGTGCAGGTCTCTGCTTGTTTAGACAGGAAAAAGCTGTCTGAACAAGCATGGGATTGAGCCCTTAAAGGCTTTTCTGTTGCACTCTTTCTCCATTGTATTAATTTTCTGCAATTCTGCATAAAGTTTTGGTATATTTACTCTGGTTAAATTAGCACAAGTCAAGTACTTTAAGGATGTAATCCATGCAGCTTTAGGTAGAAAAAAGGCCTACAATTCCCAGCATTCTGTAGCCAGCCCTCCATCACTGGCTGGGAAATGCTGAGAATCACACACAGCAGAATCTAACCAATTTTTTAAAAACAAAAATGTCTATCTGCCTCAGTCCAGAGTGTTCAGGACAGCCCAGAACTGATCCATATGCAAACATGCCATTTTTAAAAGTCACAAAAGCTAATGAATAAAAACACTGAGTAGATAACCCCAAATCAAACTGAAAAGAAGGAAAATATAGGGCTGTAGCCAGGCCTAGCCATGTGGAAATCAATGAGACTTCAGCCAGCCCCAATCAATATATCCCATTCATTTCAACAGGCTGATTTTTCAGCACAGCTAAGTCTGAATCCAAAATATTTATTTGCATTTATATTCCTCCTTATCTGCTAAAAAGCCATAAATTTGGAATAAAAACAAGAATATTAAAAACAATAAAAATGTTAAGGGCACAATCCTACATACATGTAGGCTGAAGAAAAGGTCTAGCGCTATTAGCATGTGTGACCCGCCAGGGATGCTGGGAGATATAGGACATTTTTCTGTCTAAAAGTACATAGGGCTACATTCTAAAATATTAAAACTACATTTTTCAGAGGCTGAATAGAAAAGATAGATGTTAACACCCCTTTTTAATGGTCAAGAAGGTAATCATAATTCCTGAGGGGTGTTGTTCAGGGGCAGAGGAGAAAACCCTTTTCAATATGCCACAGAGATACCAGTGGCAAATTGGTAGGTCATTTAACTACTGATTTACTGTGACATGTGCTCCTGCCAGTTTTGAAAATGGCACCTTTGATCGATCAACTGGTGGTTGCTCTGTGACATTTGAGCCCAGACACTATGGCTTCAACGTGGGTTGAATGAGCCAGAGTTACCCTAACTACTAATTGAAATTAATTGCTGGTTTGCTGACATGATGCGCAGTTCCAGTCCCTGGGTCCAAGGATTCCAGCAGGCCAACACATTTTGTCCTGTGCATCATCAGGACCATCCCCCAGACCTGTCAGGAATGTCTCCTGGATCTCAGCAGCCACCCTTGTGAGCAGCCTAAATCAACAGCAGTCCCCAAATCTGGAATTGGAAGTACCTCGAACTCAGAGTCACTCGAGTCAAGCTGGGCTGGTGCGGAACCCGGAAGAAAAGGAAGCATGGGCTGCCCCATCTTCGCCATGCGGGAGATCAGCTTAGCTTTTGCTACATCGGGATTCTGGCCAGGGTGGAGGGAGGGAGGGAGGGGAGGGAGGAGGGGGGAAAATGGTGGGAGGTCATAATTTGTCCTTCTCCAGCAGCACAGGCTTTTCCGAAACCGAGTTCACTTTTTAAAATTAATTTTTAGTTTCATGGCTAGACTAGCACTTGAGACATGCAGATTCTAATCCCCATTAAGCCACAAGATTTACCAGTAAATCTGGGCTGGTCCCTGACTCTTGGCCAAACCTACCTCACAGGGGTGTTCTGAGGATAATAGGGCGTGGAGGACTATGTAAGCTGCCTTAGGTCCCTCGCAGGAGGGAAAAAGCAGGGATATAAATGCAATGCAATAATTGATTGTGCTTCCCTTTTAACTATCTGTGGGGATACTTTTTTATAAAAACTGCAAAATGTGCAGAAAAACTGCTTGGCTACTGCTCTTTTATTACTTTGGTTTACGACAGCCAAGCTGCACTGGTCAATTGCCAGATCTCTCTGAGGGGCCTCCAAGTGACCACTGTTTGTGTCTGCAGATGGCTCGGCTCCGTGAGGCTCCCAAGACCTGCTGCAGGGACTGCTGCTGCTTTGCCATAAGCAGGAACACTGGCCTAGTCTGCCCCTGCCTCCTGCCCCCCGGGATGTCCCTCAGTTCCTACCCTCACTGCAGTTCCTACCAGAACCCGGAGGAAGCGAATTTAGCCCCGCATTGTTCCTCGCCAGTCTTTGGGGTGGCTTGCTCTTAATGACGCTTACAAGTAAAACCCGGTCGCCGCACCTGGAACCAGCTTGCCATTCTGGGCTGACACAGCTGCTTGCGCTGGCGGACTCTGCTTGGGGCCGTAGAGATGGGGGGCCACCCCAGTGAGCCCGACTCAAAAGCCAGTGTTATCGGATCACTCCTATCTGCGGAAGCGTCAGGCACAGCCCTCAAAATGAGCGAACTTTAAAAAGATGTGCCGAGCTGGCAACTCACCGCTAGCTGCTCACTGATCGAGCTGGATTTGGAACGCACAGCCGGCTCCCTGCAGCATGGAAAGGACAGCATTTGTGCTCTTGAGGACGAAGGAGAGGGCCAGCGAGGGGCATGGAAATGGGACCAGCATTCAAGCATGGCCCAGTCGAAGGGCCCATCTGTCATTTGCCTTCTTTACTAATATCAGGAAAAAGAGACAGCGAGCACTGACAGATATAATGCTGCCTCTTTCTAGAGCGAACCATGCTTCGACCCCAGACTAAGAAAGTTCATTGATTACAGTGCTAAACCCAGCATTCTCTGGACTGGGAAAGCCCCAGGTTTAGGGGGCTTCACCTTACCCCCCTCCCGCTCACATATGCTAGAGACTGAGCCTTGTTTCATCTCCATTTGACCATGCTGGCTGGGGAGAGTGGGCACTGCAGTTCACCCTATCTGAAGTGTTTCCAGCTGAGGAAGGCACGCCATAGTGGGACTTGGGCAGCAGAGACAAAACATCGGAGTAAATACAACTTGCTTGAGCTGCATTACAGAAGTGACAGAAGCTGCTTCAACCCAAGAGGAGCGGCTGCATCGACAGCACAACCGCATGTAAGAGCAACCAGGCGGGGAAGGCTTCAAGCACACTCTAGTGTCTCACCCGGGCTTTGGAGGTAGTGTGGAGGGAGGCAAGACTGCTGGGTCTGTAGTGAGGTTCTCTGGGTTCGGCCCTGGGGAAGGAGCGAGGGTGTCCCGGGAGCCCAGGGTCTGCCCATTGGTGCTCACATCCTTCGCAAGCCGCACCTGAGGGGGAGAAAAGCCATGTCACGCAGCCTTGCCAAAAGCAACAACTAGCTCGAGATTTTATTCCTGTGAACAACTGGCACATCTTTCCATCTCATCCTTCCACGGAAACAGACTTTGCAGGAGCCAAAAGGAATGTGCAAACAAAACGTTCATTAAAATGCAAACAAAAATTTAAAATAAAGCAGAAGAGAGACTGCACTCAACTGACAAGGTTACATGTGACAGGCCTGCTTAAATCAAAACTTCTTGGTCTGCTGGCAGAACACCAGCAGAGGTGGCCACCTAGTCACCTTCAACGGGGAGCTGCAGAGGCCAGGAGCTACCACGAAGACCCTCTCTTGCATCTTCACTGAATGTGCCTTGGAAGGCTGAGGAGTCAACAGACGGGCATCTTTGGAAGGTCTTAACACCAAGGAAGATTTGAAGGGAAAAAGGCCGTAGAGGAGAGAGCTGTTCCAGCTAATGGGTGGTATCGAAATTAAATAAATAGGCAGTTTTTCAGATGGGCTGGTCCCAAGCCATTGGTAAAAGGCCCGTGAGGAAGTTACAACTTTCAAAAGTTCAAGCTGGGACTCCACTGAAAGTACTGAAACAGAATGAACGAGCACTCGACCAGCCTGCCCTTCTCCGTCACCAATCATGTGGCAGTGTCCTAGCTTTCGAGCAGTTTCTCTCTAAGATCAAAATGTCTCTCCTAAGTGCCTCTAATTAAATATGGCGCCACATTTTTGAAGAGTCCCCCCTCCCCAGAAAAGCAGCCTCCTGGGGTATTTCTGAAACGAAATCCAGTCCTTAAGCAGAAAGGGGCCCTGGGTACCTGTGCTAGCATGAGCAGAAGCAGCTCCTAATGCAAAGCTGTATGCCAAAACCACCTTGCGGTAGGTCAGACAAGCGGGGAGACGTCTCCCTCTGAAGGGCCAAGCAGGAAGGCCTCCCCCAGCCCTGCCTCCAAAGCAACCAAGAAATGCCACCATTCCACGACCACGGATGGCCCGTGGCTGCCACGACGGAAGGGGTATTCCCCCAAAAGAAGCAAGGCAAGCTCTCAGCTGCCTCTAGGAAATGAGAACACTCACCCTCTTGACGTCCACTTCGAAGGCCAGGGCTGAGTCTGGGGGGATGCGATTTGCGACTCCCTGAGGCCCGTATGCCAATGTTGGAGGGATGAGGAGGAAGCGCCTCCCTCCTTTCTTCAGGCCGATCATCCCATCTTCCCAGCCCTTTGGGTCCACCAAGGAGAAAGCACGTTTTTGTGGGGGGAAGCTTGACTCAGGTAACACGCAAGAATCCCAGTTGTTCTGTTATAGCCTCAAGGTGCAGATCCTTAGTTCAAGGGGCCAGATCCAGCCCCTGTGGGGAGCCCCCAGATAGCCGAGCTCTGTCCCACACCCCGGCACCCACAGGGCTGCACAACCCACCTTGATCACCTTTCCAGAGCCCAGTTTCAGGCGCAGAAGCTTGTCCTGGTTGATGTTGGAGTCAAACATCTGCAAAAATGGAAGGCTTTGCATAAAGCTGGCCAGCACAAGATGCTGAGAAGAACACGGGGGGCTCCATGATGCCAGCTCCTGGTTTTGGGGGGCCCCAGCCAACGAACCCTCTCCTTCAGCAAGTCACCCTTGCCACCACTATGGCCCCAGCTGTTCCTGCTCCTTGTCCTTCTACCGTGAACTCATCTGACAGGGTGCAAGGTGGCCATGGCACGGTCTGCTTCTTGGTCTCGTGGCCACGGCTGTCTGGGCTGCAGTGGCTGGAGGAGCAGGGCCACCTGTCAAGAAGCTTTTGCAGACTAGGCGGTCACGGCTCTTGCTGATATTCTGGTTTGGCAGGGGCGAGGGGGGATTTTCTTTCTTAAATCAGCTTTTAATCTAGTGCTTTTCAAATGTGTTTATTGTTCTCTCTGGAATCGGTTTAGAGGAAAGACAAACATATATAAAAAGGTTGTTTGGAAAGTCGAAACCAGGGTAAGTCATTTGTGGCCTTGGGGACGATTTGGCCTGCTCCAATCTGCCTGACCCAGACCAGCCCACGGCAAGGGACTGTGGCAGCTGCAGGCCAAGCCATCCAAAGGGCCACAAGTGACCACCTCTGGTCTTGGCAGCTCACCACGGGAAGCACAGCATCGTCCACCCTCTCCCCCCAGCTTCACCTGCCCAAGGCCACCGTTCTGGAACAGCCAGCCCGTGAAGGCCACCTCCAGAGCATCACCCACTTCCACGCCTTGGCCTTCTCCAAGGAGGAGATCCTGGGAAAGCACCACATCGGGGGAGGGGCTGCTGTTGTATCTGGCAATGCAGACCTGTAAGTGGAAGCATTGGTACGATTCAGCTTGTGGCAGGTGTGGCGACCCCCTCCCCGGTCCAGGACTTGAATGTGCAAAGAGCTCCCAGCAGATTCAAGCAAAGGTGGAAGCTCTGCAGACAGAGGTCTCAAGGTAAGGAGGTCACCAGGCCTGTTTCTGCAGGCCACATGACACTTCCTAACAAGGGCAAGCAATGCTCTCCAGAGGCTCAACTACACCCTCCCCCACCAAAAAATGCGACTACCCAGTAAAACAGTGAAACTTCTTTTAAAGTCCTGTACTTTCAAGGAAAAAAAAAAAATGAGTGTAGAAGTGTCAGAAGAGGCTTTCCCCCAAAACTGCAGGTATTTCCCCCAACCTCCATGCTTTTACAAGGCCCCCTCAGAAGCCCACCCACTGGAAGGACATCATCCTGCACCACCTTCTTCCCTCCCACCCAGCCTGTCAGGCAGGGAGAGGCGCAGAAGCAGCGGCTCAGCTTCTGCAAGGCCCACATCACTCCTATCCTAGGATGGGTGACGAATCCCCTGGGAACGTCCCATTGGAGATGACCAGGGGGGATTCTTCTTGCTAGGTGAGGAGAGAGAGGAGGAAGGGGCTGTGGCGTTGACAACACCGCATTTCAGCTGGAGAATGCGCTCCCCCCCGTGACAGTACAAGCAGTGTTCACACTGAGATGATGCGAGAGCCTGGATTAAAGGGACTGGAGACACTTTAGATGACTTTTGGGTACCATCCTACAAGCGTTCAGACAGAAAACGATTATACAGCTCCCAGCATGCCCCAGCCAATGATACTGATTAGGAAATCTCAAAGTCCTAGGACTGTTTTCTGTTGGCTGGAGCATGCTGGAAATTTAGGAATTTCCCCATCAAAATGTGTAATGCAAAACTAAGAGTGCAATTATATACTTCAGGGGTCAAGCACAGAATTCGCTCTTGCCTTCTCTTCACCCCAACAGCCATTTTTCTGCTTCAGAATTGTTTTACATTCCTGATATGCCATTCTAATGAACATTCCTGCTATACTGCAACCACAAGCTAACTCTAACTCGTGTGTGTGTGTGTGTGTGTGTGTGTGTGTGTGTGTGTGTGTGACTTTGGCACCTGCTTGCTGAAGTCCGCAGCTGCTTTTTCCGACTCAAACAGGATAGACCAATTCTGCCTCTGATCATCATAGAATGTGCTGAAGTTGTTGGGCTGGACCTGTGGAGGGAAGACCTCAAGTTCAGAGTGGCGGGCCTTCTCTCCTGAAAGCAGCTTTAGGAATACTGCAAAGGGCTGTGGTTAAGAAAGCAGGTCAACTGGAGAATATGAAGAGGCAGTTTAAGGGAAACAAGCTGCAGACCAAGCAGAAAAGAAACAGATTGGCCAAGCCCAAGAAAATTTGCAAAAAAACCCATTGTTTTAACTTTTTATCACTTCCCTGGAATCACCTAGGCATACAAATACTGCAACATAAATCAACCATATTCCTAGGCCAGCTTTCAAAGCAGGAGACCTATGCACCCTATACCAGGTCAGACAATGGCTGGGTTCACACATTAGCACAAACCAGAGCATGGACTGAGTATGGAGTGTTGCTGTGTCATGTGAATCTAGCAAGCTTCCTTTCCTAACCACAACCAACCCACAAAGAAAATCTACTGTTCATTCTTGAGTTGTGAACTGCTGACTTATAGCTAACAACCATGGTTTACTAGTGTGACCAAGCTGACCTTGACTGAAGGTTGTTGTATCATATGAACCCACCATGAACCTGAACTCTGGCTTATCGTGTATTGGCCTGTTTGTCCATCTATCCCAGGATTTCAGAGATCTTTCCCATCAACTTCCGCCACAAATCAATTTCCTTTACAAAACAGAAAGACAACTGTACAAGGAGGGCTGAATCGGGGACCACTTGCATGTTGGTCAGTCAACGGACAGCTTGCCTATATTCCACAGCAAAACTCCAGGCAGTGTCTCTGGGACTCCCCCGTGGGCTCCTAACTTAGCACTGACAGAGGGAGTCTTGGTGATCTTCTTGGTCATATTGTGCATGCTCAATACTGTGGCCAGATTGTGCGAATCTGTCATGACCCTTGGAGGACTCACTGCTAAGCGACTTACTGTTAGGGCAAATCCGGGATGGATCCTGGCAGCCGCGACCTGCTGCTGCTGGTTGATATAAAGGAGAATTCTGTACTGGATTCCACATGAGGGAGAGAAGAAAATGAAAAGAGACATGAACTAAGGGACTGGCCGCCCGGAAGCATCCAAAGCCAACAGAGTGTCTTTTATGGTGGGCAACGGAGACCCAGCAGGCGACGGCATGAGCCTCCCGCCAGCATCCTGCAGGGCCAAATGTCCAGGTGTGTGGGCCACACCCTCTGATGTTTCGCAGCTGGCTGATGCAAGGGATGGATAATCCACCCCATGCATCAGCCAGCAGGCTTCACCTGCTCTGCATCTTCTCCCATTGGTCAGGACATGGGGCAGGTGGAACTGCTGGGCACCTTTCCGGGCTGCTTACTGTCCCAATTGGAGCAGCATGCAAAGGGGAGGGAAACAGGAGAAAAACAGGTAATTCTTTTCTGGCTGCCATGTCATGATTTCAATAGCACATTCTCTGGCTTAGTGAGAATAAGACTTTTCTCCCCTTATAAACCTCTGTAGAAGAGCAGGCTAGGAATAAGGGAAAAACTTGACTCTCGCCAAAGCCAGCTGTCTGAGAGTGGGACAAGCTTGGGAATCGTACCTGCAGGCAGCCCAGAAACCCGGCGGCAAATAGGCCTTTCACCCAACGCACGGAGCCATCTCTTACCTCTTTGGTCACGTGGCTCCCCACCACCGCAGCTCCGTATTTGCCTTGCTTTATGTACTGCCCGTTTGTACTGAAACAGTGTGCAAAAAGATCCTCTTAGACTGGGTTGGGGCCACTAGCAGCCCTTTCAGCCTGTAACTCAGGGGCCGCACTGGCTCAGGCTGACAGGGCTGCAACTTTCCAATGGCTCTGGCCTACAAGCAGGCCACCCATTCCTCGGCACCGCTCCTCACCACAGCCACCCTTTCCAGCAGTCAGAGATGCCTCTCACTGCACAGCCTGGTGCTTGCTAGATGTGCCAGGGTGCAATGCCCATCATCCCCATCCAGGATGGCAGTCCAGCATATCTGGAGAACTCCAGGTTGCAGGGGGCTGCTGGTGAGTGTGGCCCGAAGTTCAATTCTTGGCTATTTCCAGGAAAATGAAAATAAAAATCAGGCAGCAGGTAAAAGACGAGATTTCGCCAGTCTGGATCTTAAGAGACCTGCAACCAGCAGAATAGGCAGCACTGGGCACAGTAAACTAACAGGAAAACTCAGCAGAAGGCAGCCTAGCAGAAGCAGCTGAACTTGGGCACGGGCCTACAGTCACCTGTGCACGGGGGCGGTAAAGTAAAAGCATCGTGCTGCCGCGAAGGAATTGTTCCTAAGCCCCAGGTGGGCCTGCAGAGTGGCCCTGGGGGCACACCCAACGCGGCCCTCAGGGCAGTGCTGACCCGCCCAAGGCCTGCAAGAGCAACTTTGCTAGTCACCTCCAGGATGAGATCCCTCGCATGCGCCAGGACTTTGACACCAAGTTTCTGCAGGTGAATCAGCTGATTAACCCAAAGCACCGCCTGGTCCAGTTTCCTTGGAGGCATTTCAGCTGTTACAGCTTGAGAACACTGGCAAGATACTTGGACAGGTTTGCTCCATCCCTTCCATGCTGGAGCCCATACCTCTTGGGCTTAAAAATAACAGCAGGAAGTCAGCCAGCTGAGGCGTGGAGGTGATTAATGCCGCCTAACCAATGTGAGTGGTTTGGGGCTGCCTACAAGAGGTGGCAGCAAGGCACCTCCTGAAGAAATATTCTCTGGACCCAGGGGAGCTTAACAAACTTTGGAGTGCTTCAGCTCTGGGGCAACAGAGCAAGAAAAATAGAATTGGGTTTGGGCAAGATAAAGCCACTGCAATTCTCCATCCTCTGAGCCCAGTGATAATACTTACAATCGGTACGCTTGAACAGCTGTAGCTATGAAGACAGACGGCGTGGCCGCGGGAGGGGGCGGCTTCTGTTTTGGTGGACCTGCAGCTGAAGCAGCCAGAAAAACAAGCTAGAGCATGGCTGCAGGTCGAGGTTTCCCTTGCAAGCATCTATCAGGGTAATTTTGTACATCCTCTCTCTTGGAACCAAACCAGCAGCTCAAATAATTGGGGAGCCGGGTGGGAAGAAAAAAAAAATGCCTGAATGCTCCAGAATGATCCCCTGGCAGACCTCCTAGAAGTTCAGAAGGGGGTTGGCACAGAAGGTGACAAAGGACCCTTGGCCACCACCCTCCTAGTCTGGGCACCAAATGACAGGCTCAGGGTGGCACAGTGCACAAAAGATAGACTCATTCAGGCAAAATGCGGTGCGTAACATGTGTGAATCCCAATAATAATAATAATGAATTCCCCCTCCCCCATGTTATCCAGAGAGGTACCTGCCTTCCAGATGCATCAGGCTACAAGTCCTAGCAGCTCCCTGCCACCACGAGGAAGGCTAACATAATTTAGACTCACAGATTTGATGATGCATAAATGTATCTGAGTCTGTGATGCCATAAACTCACATGTATGTCCCCTATACAGGAGACAGGCTGAAAGTTGATCTCCGAATATTTTGGTCTGCAATCCCCAGAATTCCTCACTCTTGGCCCGATTAGGAGGGGCTTCTGGGAGCTTAGCTCCAAAACATCTAGAGATCTACCTTTAGCCCATCTCCATCCTACAGCCAGCACGATACCTTGAAGGCTTCCAGACTAGGTTTACTTGCTACCCACAATCAAGATGCTCCTTTCCCTTGTTCAAGTTTTTAATTATGGGCTACACATAAATGTGCGACTTTCTCTCCCAAACCTGCAATGGGGCTGGACCATGTCGACCGTTAAGCTAGAAGGAAGAGATATACTGTTTTTAGATGACATTAACAGCTTTCTACACATGTTGTTTGGACTTGTTCACTCCAGCCAAGGTACCCGCTGCAGGCTTGGCACCCTGCCCTATTTCTGTGTCACTACTTTGAGCTGGATGTGATTGAGTGGACCCTGATCATGGCAGAGTGGTATCGCAGGCAGTTGCTCACCTGTAACAGGTTGACCTTTCTTGGGCTGTTTCGGGGCTGTATATTGAAAAAATTCATTTCCGGCGCCTGTCACTGTCTGATCCAGTCCAAAGAGGGAAGCCAACCTGGCCCTGTGGAGAGAGAACAAGCATTGGCTCATTTCCCAAAAGGGGAAAAGTGAGAGTGAAGCACACGCCTGTAGTGCAGCCATCTAAGATTTGGCGCTCTCAGAATGTACTGGACTACAATTCCCAGCAGTCCAACACATCTAGGGGGTTGCAGGTAAGACAAGGCTGATGCAAGGTGAAGGTATTCGTCTTTCTTTGTGGCTCACTGGTGCTACTGCAATCTTTCCCAAAGGACACTTGGTCACAGATTCAAGCACAGTAAACTAACAATCCCATGCTAAGCGATGGCGGGAACTTACTCCTGTTTTTAGATAGCATGGCACAGTGGTTCGAGCACTGGCTCTCCCTATTCAGTCACAAAGCTTTTAACAGAGCTGCATGCTCTCTCTTTCAAGGAGCAGGACTAGAAGAGAGGTGCTTGAAATAAATTTCCTCGACTGAGGAAGACGCTGAGCTGGCAAAGCATTCCTTACGAAAGCATGCCTGTTTATATAATTCTATTTAGAGCCTGCCTCTTTTCTTGCAGAGGATCCAAGGCAGTTTACCTAATCCTCCTATTTTGGTTCTCACAACAGCCCTGTGAGGTAGGTTAGTCCGAGAGTCAGTGATCGGCACAAAGTCACCCAGTTGGTTTGAGGCCTGGTGGATACCAGAAGGCAGAGCGTCTGTGTCCCAGTCCAGCACACGGACCACTATATCTCGCTGGCTCTCAAGGGCGCAGAATCGTCTTCAGCCCAGGGGTCAAATTCCACTTCAGAGAAGTTGTTGGGGGCTGTATTTCACTGGTGGGTGAAGGGTCAAGGGCAAAGTGGCAGGGCCTCCATATTATAAATTAGACTTCTTACTGCCAGGAATTAAGGGCAGGCATTTCAACCATTCAGATTGGGAGAAAAATCTGTCTGAAGGCCAGGAAACAAAATAATTGACAGTCATGGGAAAATGGTTAAGCAGGAAGAGAAAGCAGCCTTCTGTGGAACTCCAGTGAGCTGGACTGGGACCCTACATAACTAGATGGGGAGCCCACTGTGGGCTCTGCACTCCTGGTTTACACATCACCCAAACACAGATTACAAGATTTTTCATTTACGAGTAACTGTTTCAAACACTTTGTTCAGGTAACTCTCCTCTCTAAAGACATCTTTGTTTTCCTCTCTGTAAAGATGCCCTTTACTCAAAGCTCTTTTCAGAAGCTGGAAATAAAGGCCAGTTTTTGACCTCAGCACCAAGCATAACACAAGTCCCTGCATTTGCAAAGCAAGAAACCCTGCCCTGACACATTAGCTTTCCACATGGAAAGATCCCCATGGCATGAGGAAGAACAGAGTTTCAAACAAGTTATTTCCCCAAGTACATTCTGAAGCGTATCTTTTGGGAATCAGAAACACATTGCGCACACAAGTCAGCCTACCTCTGCATTATTGGATGTGAAACATGCTACTCTTTACTAGTGCAATTTCGAGACAAATGTAACAAGCTCTTTGCTGGGTCGAACAGCCACCCCAGATAGCCTTGAAATGAAGTCCGGTTTTAAAATGTGGGCCAAGATCTTCTGAAGACCAGAACACTCCCACCCCAGCCAAAATCTTGCCATAGAAGAAACAAACCCATGGCCTGCCTGCCAAAGGTATTCCGTCCGCCAGGGGTCTGACATCGCCCTTCAAGTCCCTCCAGTATATTCTCCTTCCGATTCAACAGGCGCTGCTGGCTTTGCACAGGTAATACTTTATCCATCCCAACCCTTCTTTTCTTGGAACATCGCTGGGGGGAGGGGGGGAGGCCAGCTAAGACTTGCAAATGCAGCTCTAGGTTTGCACAATCTCCCGTCCTTTGGAACTGATCTATGGCCTTGTGGAGTGGAAGGGACGCTCTCCCGTATAATCCCCAAGTATCTCTGCTTGGGATTTCTGCAGGAGAGAAACTGCATGTAGAGATTCTGGAGAGGGGCAGGGTGTGTGGAGAAAGATGCAAGAGATTATAGCCTGGGCTTTTGACTTTTTTACTTCTGGAATTTCAGATTAAGATGAGGAAAGGCATGATACTCTCTGGCTTCAACTGCAGGGTTGTGGATCGTTGCACCCCATGGCCCTCACGTGCCTGGTCGGCTACACAGGGAAGGGTGAGGGAGAAAGAGGAATTTACCCAGAATCAGAGCTGGCAGGGACTGCAAAGCAGTCCCAAGACAGGAAATCCTGGAACCGGAAAACATTGCTCAAGGGCCTCATTTCCTTGGCATCTGTCATCAAAGGGCCTTTAGGGTCAAGCTGAGAAAAACACTTGCTGGAGATACGGGGTACAGAAAATCTGACCCTAAAGGGTTCCTCAGTTGGCCGTCTCCCCTTTTTTCAATTGCCAATAATTTGCACTGTGCCAGAAAGTTGCAATACTTCTCCTAAGGCTTCATTACTGGTGTGAAGCGCTTGTGTTTTCTGGCAACTGGCACAACTGGCATACTGCCTCCATTACCAGAAAACTGACAATTACTCAACCAGAGCACAGGGCTGCAACAGTGGACTTCTCCAAGTCCTCACGCCAGCACTTCCTTGGAGTGTTTTCCTTCTGGGCTCCTTTGTCATCCTGCTGTTTTCCGATAATCCTTCCCAGCAGCAAATGTTTTTGCAAGACAGAGGCAGACTAGAGGGACAGGGCCTTTCTTCTATTTGCTCCATGTGGCAGCAGTGGCCAGGGCAAGCTTCTCATCAGCTGTCACAGTGACACTGATCTAATCATTGAATGCCCCTCCAGCCTCTCACCCCACTGACCAAACTCGGATTGCACAATCTGACCTCCAAACTTGCTTATCTCATGGTGTCCTTGCCACTCTCAGAAGCCAGAAAAGCAGCTGCTCCCCCACCACTTTTAATGGCTTTGGATGAATGCCCCAAAGGCTCCCTGGGGTGCCTCAGTGGCCACTCGTTTTACTCTGCCAATAAATACTCAGGAGCAGCTTGGCAGCCTTGTGGATTTCTAACCACCTCATTCCAGGGGAGTATTTGACTGTAGCAGCAAGCGAGAGAGTTTCTCAAAGCGTGGATTGGAGAGAATCGGGGTGGGGACTTACTGTAATACCCTCTGGGTGACTGCAGCACACAAGGTCATGAGAGGAGCCCTGCTGGAACTCAGCAAATGTCTATCTCATCCACCAATCTGTTCATGAAGTGCCCACCAGCTGCCCACAAGGATACAAATGCAGCCCCACCTTCCTGCTCATGTTCTCCAGCAACAGATGCACAGTGTCTGCAGTACTGGAAGTAGCAGAGAGCCATCAAGTTTACTAGCCATCGAGAGCCTCATTGTCCACAGATCTAGCCAGTATAAGCAGAACCTGCAAGGGTTAACGACTCCAAAAAGCCAAGAGCTCCTGCCCCTCACTGATGATTAGGTCAGCTGAATCAAAACATTGTGGGAAGTAGGATGGAACAGGAGTGGTTTTAATGTGAAAGGACTTTTGAGTTGGGTTCTGGTCCTGCTCATAAATTCCAGGGATGAGCACATGTTAAACTCAACATGTTCCTTTGTTCTGAGCATATGACCGCCTGCCTGCACCATGATTTTGATTAGTTAGCATATCTCAGAGTTCCAGTGAAAAAATGAATATGATGAGCTTGAAGTCTCCCTGCACCATGACACAGAAAATTGTTGACAGAGAGATTCTTGAGGCTGGGGAAACTACCAGGCAATGATGTGGGAGACTCAAATGCTTTCTTGTAGAGATTCTCACTGACTCATGTAGCCCAGCTGGTGCAGTCAAACATTCTGGTAATAACACTAAAAGATGTGGGG